GGAAACCTTGAGTGAACAGATTATCTACCGGCTCTCACTGGAACACACCGAGATCATTTTATACTGCCAAGGAATCTTACCACATTTAATCCTGATACGTTAGAGAGTTTCTATTTAATGATGATGATATTATTATTATTATTAGTATTATTATTAAACCTCATTTTTTATTTCCATGTGAAGAATGTCCCAATAATATCTGGTCCTTGTTCACTACCCTCACTACGTTCACAATAACAGGAATCAACTCATAACTTAACTTTAGTTTCATAACAAATTCCTCAACAATTTTTCTCTACAGATCCCGGAGGCAAGAAATTCAAAATGGCCGCCAAGCCCAGAGGTCAACAAAAATAAAATGTAGGAATGAAGTTTTGTCACAACGAGAATTATTTCATATTAAAGTTGATGGACATTTCTCCTTCTTCTCAAAACACTAAATAAATTCGATGATATTTTGTTTTAATCAGTTTGTTGTAGGACCAAAGTTACCATCTATATCATGTCTCTAAGTAAGGAGTATTTAGGTTCCATCACTAACACCTGCGTCATTAACACCTGGGTCAACACCTGCATCGTTAACACCTGCGTTATTAACAGCTGCATCAACACCCGCACCATTAATACCTGCGTCAACACCTGCATCATTAACACCTGTGTCAACACCTACATTCTTAATAACGTAATAGATAAACAGAGATAAATAAATAAAAAATAATGATATAAATAAATAAATAAATAAATAATCGGGTCTTTACCTCCAGAAAGGTCAATAAGTGAGTCTATCCCACAAGCCCTTGGCGGAAAATTGGTCTCTTTTCTTCTCTTTTCCCTTACTCGTTCCTTCTCCTTTCCCTTACTCCTTACTTCTCCTTTCCCTCATTCCTTCCTTGTCCTTTCCCTCACTCCTTCCTTCCTTTACACTCTCACTCCCTCACAACAAGACCAAGTGCCTCCCTACCCCACCTCTCCCTCGCCACACTCATGGCCGACTATACAACTTCCCAACCTTTCTGGGATTTATTTTGGGTATTCGTCCCCTCCACAGTCAGCTAGGAGGTGGTGGTTCCTCCCTAGTTATCTCTTCAAAGCTTAATTTTTCCATTTAGGTTAAAATCATTAAGGAAGAAATTTACAAAGGATGGATTTCTTCCCCAATTAATCGAATAAATCCCTCTGTTTTGAAGGCCTTTTCTCCCTCCCCCCCACCCCTGTCTGTCTGTCTGTCTGTCTGTCTGTCTGTCTGTCTGTCTGTCTGTTTGTCTGTCTTTTTCTTTCTGTTTATTTATTTGTTTGTTTGTTTTCTTTCTTTCTTTCTTTCTTTCTTTCTTTCTTTCCTACGTAATTAATGGTTTGAGGGCGGACACTGCGTATGTTATAACGCCTACGTCACTTACACTGAGTCCAATAAACAAGGCAGGTTATCTCTATTGCCTTGTACAGTCATAGTCACAAGTCTCTGCACACCTGGTAACTCCCTATTATAAATTACGTTAGGTTGACGCCAAATAAAAAGAGTAAAATAGTCATATCGAGAAAAATTATATCAGAGACCCCATGATGCTAGATGCTGTCGAGGCTGTCCAAGGAATTCTGTCCGCTACTGTACATATGACACTGTAGTACATGTAATGAATAGAAACAGTAGAGAACTTAAGAGTACATATATCGTAATGTTAACAAACTGGAAGGAGATTTAACCTATCCAATTCTAAACTAAATTAACCTAAATTAATTTAACGTAATCTAAGATAACCTAACCTAACCTAACGTAATGTAAACATAACCCAAACTAAGCTAAGTAATATGTAACACAACAAAACCAAATTTAACCTAATCTAACCAATGTATTGAAACCTAACCTAACCTAACCTTGTGATCTACAAACTTTAATGCTTAATACGTTCCGTGAGTGATAACGTTAGTTTTAATAGTAAACAGTAATGAGAAAAAGACCAAATATATAAAGTAAATAACATAAAGAAAATAATGTAAATATTTGACTAGGCAGACAGACAAGTATGATCGCGGCCGAGAATGAAAGACCTGTTAGAATGAACGTTTGTCATCAAGAATATTTGGTGTCCATTGGTAGAGTAGTCACAGGGCGAAACATTACGAGAACTGTCCATAAAATGATGCACTGGGAAAGTTTAGAGGGCTAAATGATCAAGACAAGTGTTAGGTAGTTGATCACTCGTTACAGGTGTGGGAGGTAATGAGCTAAAGTGATGTGGCGGGAAGTAACAGACCGGGGCAGGTGTGTCTGGTCAGAGGTTTAGTTTTATCATCGTGAGTTGAGGACAAATCTGAGTGTTAGTTTAGTATGTCTTTTTATTTAATTTTGTTGAATGGACATGTTTAGCATTTCTAATTTGCTTGATTGAATTGTGTACAGAGTATTGAATTCTATTGGTTGCGCAAAGTGGACAGGGCTTTGATATAAAGGGAAACTCTGGGACGAAAATACGCAAAAAGAAAAATGAAGAAGAAAAAAGAAAACCTGCTAACCAGAGAGACCAGAAAGACCTGACCTCCATTGTGTAAAAAAAACTGACCTTAATTAACAGATGCTGAGGATAAAGTGATGTTACTTGTAGGAGGAGGTGATGGAGTGTACTGCAGTCTAGTGATCGTTGTATTCGGCTTGTAACATGTACCGAGCGAAACATTGTTGGTAATGTTCCTTCTTCTTGGCGGCCCAAACAACCAAACTCTTGATGTCCTTCCAAAATGGTTCTATATTTTGCGTATGAACGCCTGCAGCACTTCACAGAGGCTGGCAGAATACCATTAGCCTTAAAAATGTCAATGGCAGCGGCTTCGTTTTCAAATATACGATGATTGGTTAGCCAAGTGAGAGAGAACACCACTGCAGAGAGAAGCCATCATGCGACTAGCCAAAGTCAGAACTCTAAGCATGGGCGAGAATATCACGTGACACCGAGACTTATGGTGATTGGCCGGAACATAGTCGCTCGAGTCAGATGGAAACAGCGTCTTCCACCATAATATAAGTTCTTGAGTGAAATCGAAGTTCAAAATACTCGAAAAAGATAAATTTACGACAGAAACGTCATATAATGATTTTTGGAGGCCATATCTACCACAGTCAATTACTATACAAACGTAAATATGAAGTTCCTTGGCTGAGTTTTTCCGAATCTTACCCATCTTTAATATTAACGTATTAAAATTAATGTCATTAGGATTAGAAAGTTAACAGTGTAATCAGAGATATAAAGTATTTGATTATGACCCGGCACTGGTTGCTGGCGGCTTCAAGTGTGGCTCAGAGTTTGCTGGACTTTGTCTAGTGAGAAGCTGGTAACCTCCCTTACTGTTTCGGCACTTAGAGGACGTCTAGGATCGCCGCGCCGTGTGGAGGGACGGTTGGACCAAAGAGGAGTGTCAGTGGACTCAACATAGTGTTTGTAAACTTGAGTACTGAGTGAAGAGTACCAAAATAGTGAAAGGTTTGGATTCTATTGGACTCAATTATTCTACAGGAAAGTGGACACAGAACTTCATCCTTGCGTGTTGACTTCTACAGGAGAGTTTCAACCTTGACCTGAAAAACCTCATCATTTGCAAATAGATAGATTGTTAATAAAATACTGGCTTTTTCGTGGGGCAGGTTTAAGTAAGGTAGTAAATAGATGGTAGTAAAAAATTATATATTTTACTTGGTGTTTCTCTTGCTGTGCCTTGCTGGTTGGGTAATGATGATTCTTAAGCATAAAAATCTGTGGTAATCTTTAACTTCTGGGTGACCATCATACTTGTGTCTACTCTGTTTACCCTAGATTTACACAATAATGTTAACTACTGTACTTGGTTGGGAAAAAAAAAATAACTATGAAAACAAAAGAGGTTTTCGATCCCACCAATAAAAGCTCTGAAAAAAAAAAATCCATTCATTTGTCGTGATGAAACTGTTTTCATTTGCGTATGATTGTTTTATATTGCGGCCAATTAAACGAAACATGTGTTGCGCTGGGAAATATATAATCGTATCCGTCTATTTCAGTTCAGATTGCTTCATCTCCATTAAACACAATACCAAATTTGGGGACCATTATTCAGTCACCCGTCGAAAAAAACAACAACAATAATTCCATAGTTTTAAATTTTACCCTCTAGTGTCCAAATGTCGAATGAATAGTATTTATTTAGTTTTGATTTACATGTGTTTAGAGAGTCTACTAGGTAATGATATCGCCGAAAAACACCAAGAAATGGTTCCTTTACTGTAAACACAACACGTCTTCAGGTGCTAGTCCAGGTCTTGTTCAGTTACTTGTCCGGTTGATGGCTCAGGTGCGTATTGAGTTAGGAAGCTTGAATTAAGACACAATAGAGACCAAAAGCTTCAGCTGTTTTGTTCTCTAGTTTTTGATTCGTGTGTGTGTTTGTGTGTGTGTGTGTGTGTGTGTGTGTGTACCATTCTGCCACCCCCCTCCTCTCTCTCTCTCTCCCTCCTCTCTCTCTCTCTCTCCCTCCTCCTCCTCTCTCTCTCTTTCTCTTTCCTTCGTCTGTCAAAATCGTTGTGTTTGTGGCTCCTGGATTACCATAGTGAGCATAAAGAAAATCAACTCTCGAGACGGACAGACAACACCTTCAGAAATCATTACTAGCTGACGTCACATTATGGTGTGATGTATGGAACCTAAAACTAATATTTACTCTACAAGAATTCACAATTTTATACAAGTATTTATGAAGGGTGAATTGTAAAACCGATCTATGTATGAAATAACTTAAAAGTGTTACTTGCCTTTGAAATTAATTAATTAACCTTTCAATGAACAGGTATAATCGGTTTGGTGTTATTTAAGATGAGGATGGAAGCAAAGTATTCAAGCCATTTTTAACAGGATTAATATTTAAAAAAAAAAAAGGAATCTCAGTCCACTTTAGTGTCATCATAATCTAAGATACGAGATCATAAGACCTTTACTTGAGGGCCGGTGATAATTGGTTAAGTTTATCACCAGCGAGAGTCAACACAGGTACAGGTGTATTAGTCGTGAGGGTTGAGTCACACACACGGTGGACGATGGGTGTGTTGCTAATGCTGCTGCTGGTGTGTTCTGACCTCACCCTGGGCGTGGGGCAGGAGAAAGACTGGTTCATCAGGTCAGGTAAAGTCATATGTTTATGTGTTACTGAAGTCAATTTTTTGGTAGAAATTATGTTACATATTATTTCATTCAAGTGATTTAGAAACCAGAGAACTCGTGAGGAAATAGACATTACTAAGAGAAACTAATCACACTACGTAAACACTGTGCATCTAACATGTAAAATAGGGTTTCCTATTTATGTCTGTAACGTCAAAACCTCACAATAATAAGTCGTCTCTGGTGGCAGGATATTTACCTCATACTTCATCATTCTAACAACTGTCTTGGCATTTGTGGATAGTGAGCAGACCTTACCTAAGACTTATGATAAATAAGTTGTTGTTACTAAATTACGTTTGATGATACAGTAACTTGTGTTTAGGGGGATATATCTATAGTGGTGTATGTCTGTATGAAAATGACAAACAGACTGTAATAAAAGGGTCGCCCAACGCACACCTACGCCCACGCACACCTACGCCCACGCACGTCCACGATACCCAGCCATTACAAGTGGAACATGAAAGTTAACCTATGGGGCGCTCTGTGTTTACAAGTGCTGTCACGCGAAAATTGCCCTAATTCATCATCATTCGTCACCCTCTCAAAGGTAACCAGATGCCTATATCAAGTGCCAGATAGCTCCGTCCATAAAACTGACTTGACTACGCCCATATTGTGAACTACCCAGCCAATGAAAAAGAAGTACCTTAAGATTCTTTGAAAGACAGATTCTGATTGGATACTCCGAATATACTCCATGTAGCTAAGAGATACTGTTAGCTATGTACAGTTTTGGTGTGGTGTAGTGTGGTGTGGTGTGGTGTGGTGTGGTGTGGGGCGACGGCGGTAAGGTTGATGAATGTTTTTCTGTAGTCGTACGGATACACTGTGAAGTTTCCCCCACGCTATATATAGTTTGATATAGAGAAAAAACATATAACTTCAATTATGTCTTTTGTTTGAATAAAGTTATGAACGGATATATTTCTTTATATTTCCCCTGGCTATTATAATAACAATGCAGACAAACAGACAGTTGGGATATAACAATGTCGCCGATCTTCAATATCAAAAAAGACAAGGACTTTTTCTCCAGTATCTCCCATAATGAATCCCTAATCAAGTCTACCTACAGGTCTGTGCACCACTGCCTTACGTGTTGCACCATAAAGATCAATGCCCCCAACACTGTAATTTGAGGCGTTAAAATATACTTTATTTCTACCAAGGTCAAGAGAGGGTCATTGACTTCATGTGTATCTGATTTTTCTCCTCATAGTTTTCATTGGTAATAGTGTAATCTGTCCAGCTCTTGTCCAGTAAACTGAGGACTAAATATTATATCTTCTAATAATATGTATCATGTGTCGTATTAGTTTAAGCTGAGCTGATGACATTCTGTGTACTCGAAAAATATACTTGACAGTGGATCTTTATATTAAACATTTCTTAACAGAGTGTACCATGATCTTAACAGAGAATAACAAGAAATAAACCCACGTGTATATCAGGTACTGTATGTCAGTGTATTTCCAGGGAGGCAGAAGAATGTGTTGTCCCGAGCGGCTGTTAATGTTCCTGATATGTATCTGCCCGTCAAGGTGGACCCCTCCAGCCCCTGTGGCCACGCCCTCCACTCCATGTTCCTCTCCCTCGGTGACAACTCCACCTGGGCCATCAGAAGTAAGTCCAACTACCTGCTACTGTGAGCTGGACTCCTCAACGTGTAAGGACTTACTTCCTTATAAAGTTTGTTTAAGTTGTGATGAAAGTTTAGGTTTTGGTCTTTCAGGATGACTTGTTTATGACGCTAAATGGCAGGTGTCGCTTCCTGTAGCATATGTTATTGTTATAACGATAAAATGAAACACAAACTGGAAACGAAATTTTATTCTGAGGTGATACGGGCATAAGTCTTCGTCACACAGAGTAATAAGTGTGTGTGTGTGTGTGTGTGTGTGTGTGTGTGTGTGGTGGTAACGTACACCTTTCCCCCATCTCCTAGTGGTAGACTCGTGGGGCAAATATAACGACGGCATTTACAACGGCAACTGGCTCTTTATTGGGGAGTATGACGAGTGTGTGGGAGTTGTGTCCCCCGACCACTCCCTCAAGGGCAAGTACTGCTCCATCGACATCAAGTAAGAACCACTGAGATGAAGTTATTATTGTGGAGATACACAGGTGTTGATGTGTGAGTAGAGGAACGGGTTTGTGGGTTAAATATCTAATTCATTTTATAATTACAGTGTTTTATCATCTTGGAATACTTGTATGGGTGTGTACGTACGTCGTGAAGCCACCCGAAAGACAACAGCATCATCCTGACTGTTTTGTGCTTTCTCTCTTCCAATAGAAATATAACCAGTAAAGAACAGGAGACGTCTAGAGTCTGGCACACTGACGCCCAAGTCCCAAATCGTTTACAGAACCTGTTCCCACTAAGGAAGCCTCCACAGATGTTTGTTCCTGTACCTGTCGTCAACAGCGGGGCGGGAAGTGAGCTAATGTACGCCACTTGTATTCCCGACGTCTGCACCCTGGAGGAACTTGAGGTACAGTACAATGTTGTTACCACCGGCTGTAGTCTACATCAGCCTCAGACTTTTCTGGACTCCCTGATTCTTGGACCCCTGGATCTCCTCCTCTCTCTTCAACCACCACACCCATGACCCTGTGTGGATAGTACACGCTAAAGATGCTCTCTAATTATTGATATAAATAATTAATGTTCAGTTCTTACTTCCACCTTCCACTGACTCAGTATTAATGCCTTTCCGTTACTTCCAGCAACAGACATTTCTTCATTGATGTCTCTTACCTATAATAAAGTCAATCCCCTCACCGTAATGTCTACACTCAGGTAAATCCTCCCAAAATATTAGTTAGTAGAACAGATACATTGAATCCCTTTGTGAGGCCAATAGCTCAGCTCAGTGGGGCACAGCAACCATAATGTGTTCATTACCACCAATACCAACCACCACTGTCCAGTAAACAAGACCATTTCTCTCTTCAGATTACAGTCAATAAGACTCCCATTTTACCAGCCAATAATGGAAAAATTCTTGATCTTTCTACACCCAATAACTTCTTAGGGAATTACCAATTTTCTAAAAGTACAAAGAATGCATAACAATTTGTTGTTTGTTTTTTGGTTCCACCATAATTAACTTCTATTTTGCTTTTTGTTCTACAATTCTCTAAGAACTTCACTTCATCTGGGATTTGTTAAATTTTTAAACTTTTTTTTTGCTGATGAGTGACGCTTCTGTTGCGAAGTTAGCAGGTACAGAGATGTATGGGAATTTGGGAACAGAAAACACTGAACCTGAGAGTGGTCTTGTTACTCTGACCACCATCTACTGTTCCCCACCAGGAGAGCCTCACACAGGTCCTGGAGCCAGCCAACTACACCGCCACTGTCAAATTTTGCTCCGTGAAGGACCCCGAGTTGAAGTTTTCTGGTGCTGATATTACTTTTATGTGAGTACACCAGTGGTATACCTCACGGCCCTAGTGCCGGCCATCCTCGCTACACGAGTGGCAACCATTACCTCACTACACTCTCTGTTACTGGAGGCATTACTTTTGTTTCACTACACCTTAGTTGGTACACTGTCTTGCATCTTTCCTGGAGTGTTAGTTACAGGAAGTATATCCTCGCTATACAATGATACTCCAACATCTGGTGAGTTTAACATTTCAGAAGGGCAAACTGATTTCAGAAGGGCAAACTTTGACAGTTTAAAGAGGCAGCTGAGAGAGGGGGTGTCGCGCTTGGCCGAGAACCTGACAGATGACACCGACCTGATAACGAGATCTGAGATTGCCGAGTTCCACGACAATTTAAATAGTGAGTTACTTAATGCACAAAGGCAAAACATACCATACAAAAAACTCAGATCAGACAACAATGACCCTAAATGGATAAATAATTATTTAAAAGAACATCATTGGCCAAGAGGGGACTATAAATTAGAAGGATAAATCGTGGCGAAATTCACCTCCGGGACTATTATAGGGTGATGGCGAGTAGGGTTAAAACCGAGATAAGGAAAGCAAGAGGAATAATGAGGTAAGGATAGCAAGGGAGGCGAAGACAAACCCCAAAGGATTCTACCAAATGTATCAAACTAAAACACGAGAAAAGATTGGACCAATACGGTCAGACTCCGGCGAGCTCACTGATAACGACGGAGAAATGAGCAATAATTTGAATAATTATTTTTCAACAGTTTTCACCACCGAAAATTTAAACATGATACCCGAGGCACCGACTCTATTCAGAGATAGTGAAGAAAACAAATTAAGTGAGATAGTAGTGACTAGTAACGCTGTTAGTAAGCAAATAGACACGCTAAAGCCAAGTAAGTTACCGGGTCCTAATGAGATCTTTGGCAGACTATTAAAGGAATGTAAGGAAGAGCTTAGTATGCCCTTAGCAAAGTTGTTTAACATGTCATTAAACACGTAGTACCAGAATCCTGGAGGATAGCGAATGTAATACCGATTTTCAAGAAGAGGGATAGATCACTATCCTCTAACTACCGTCCAATCAGTCTAACATCAATTGTAGGCAAATTACTGGAAGCAATCATTTCAAACTCTATTCAAATCACCTGGAAGCGCGATTGATCAATGATTCCCAGCATGGCTTCACAAGCGGACGTTCTTGCCTAACTAATCTATTAACATTCTTTTCATCAGTTTTCGAATCGGTGGACGAGGGGCACAATTATGATGTGGTATATCTCGACTTTACAAAGCCTTCGACAGAGTCCCCCACGAAAGACTAATTAGAAAGGTAGAAGCTCATGGCATCAAAAGGTGACATCCTTAAATGGATTAGGGCGTGGTTACAGGACAGGAAACAGCGAGTGAGCATTAACGGCACTAAGTCCCATTGGAGCAACGTCACAAGTGGAGTTCCCCAAGGCTCAGTGCTTGGACCATTATTGTTTATTATATACATAAACGACATAGATATCGGCATAGACAGCAACATAAGTAAATTTGCTGATGACACTAAAATAGGACGTGTTATCAAATCTGACGAGGACTCGGCAAAACTACAGGAAGATCTAAACAAATTTTTCCAATGGTCTGAAAAATGGCAGATGAAATTCAATGTCGACAAATGTAAAGTACTCAGTATAGGAGATGTAAACAGGGAAACCAGATACCAGATGAACAACGATGCCATAGAGAAATCCGACTGCGAGAGAGATTTAGGAGTAATGATAAGTAGGAACCTTAAGCCAAGTAAACAATGTGTTTTTGCTCGTAACAAGGCTAATAAAGTACTTGGGTTCATACAAAGGAGTGTTAGTTACAAGACTAGCGAGGTCATCCTAAAACTGTATCTTGCTCTTGTGAGACCACACCTGGATTACGCAGTTCAGTTCTGGTCACCGTATTACAGAATGGATATAGAATCCTTGGAAAAATTCAGAGGAGAATGACAAGACTAATCCCGGGCATTAGGAACCTTGAGTATAGAGACAGGTTAAAGCATCTTAATTTGCACTCCCTCGAGAGACGTAGAGCGAGGGGCGACCTGATAGAGGTGTATAAGTGGAAGGCAGGGCTAAACAAAGGGGACATTACAAAAGGTACTCAAATTATCCAACCAGGGCGAACTCGTAACAATGGTTTTAAATTAGACAAATTTAGATTTAGGCGTGAAATAGGTAAACACTGGTTTGGAAACAGAGTAGTGGATGAATGGAACAAGTTACCAAATATCATCATTAACTCGAATACGCTGGATAGCTTCAAACATAGGTTGGATGGTTATATGAGCAATAGGGGTTGGGTGTAAACGGGACTGCCCAGTATGGGCCAATAGGCCCGCTGCAGTTTCCTCCATTCTTATGTTCTTATGTTCTTATGACATTTGTTATAAGACCACCTAACTGTTGGTTTGTGTAACTGTCGTACACACTGTAAAGTGGAGAGTAACGGGTGAGTGACATTTATATGGGACAGTTCCAGACTGACAGATGGAAAGGTTCAGTCATTGATAAAAATGGGGACAAATTCTTATTAATTTATGGACTTGTTTTCTTAGAAGTATATTTTCTTTTTTACTTTGTATACAAAATGAAAGGATGACCCATCACCAGGACGTCGTACTCAACAGTGAAGGAGAAAGGCAGTAGAAGAGACAAGAGAAGGAAAGAGACGAAAGTTTAATAAAGAAATAATTAATAAGATTTTTGAATAAATGAAGGTTGTATACTGGAGAGCAACTGTAACGGAGGAGCTTCGTTGTGAGTCTTACTGTGTGTAGATCACAGTGTGGACGTGTAGTAAGCTGTCCTTTCCTTCACAGTTCTGTGGTCAGTGTGTTGATGTTTGTCATGTTGGTCGCATCCCTCGTCGACATCTACATCGACTACACCAACAAACAACATCTTACAAAAGGTGACTCACATCACATCATCTGTAGTTACATGCAGTTTATTTTGTACTAAAAAGAATGGTGAAAGTTATGTTACAGTACCTTATATCATACACTCTCACAGGTGGACTGCGGTTCTTGATGCCGTTCTCAGCCTACACTAACCTGGGCAAGATATTCCACATCTCCACCAACAGTTCGCCCACCACCATTAACTGTCTCCACGGCATGAGGTGACACTGACAGCTAGAGTCCTTGATGGTGTATGGCCCAGGATGTGTGACTCCATCAAATAAGCTTTTTATTGGCGTAACTAACAGTCAGTGTGGCTCCAGAGTGGTAGATAGGTCAAGCCATAAGGTTACAGTGTTACCCAGTTTTGTATGAGCAACATCACCAGATTTGTTCCATTGGGCACAAAAAAAAGCTGTTTCTCTCTTTAGGCACCACCTTCGTCACATATGCATATAAACTATATTTATACAGCTGTTTCTTTATAGAATTTCTTAATCTAGTAAGTAGAGGAGAGAGTTTGGTATCCTTCACAATTCCTCTTACCCCAAAGGTGATCACATATTTCAGTTCATCACTAGTCTAACCTCCGCTGTCTCTTCCCTCAGAGTACTCTCCATGACATGGGTGATCTACTGCCATCAACAATCTCTTAATGTGGGGGAATGCGCCAACATCGTAGTTATTTTAAAGGTCAGTTGATTCGTGTTTACTCATTTATATATATGCATCTGTAGACAGTTCAAGTGGTCAGATTTTGTCCGTTCGCTATCACTGCTGTTGTCTTTCTCTCAACAGCGTGTCAACGGCTTCCTTTTCCAAGCCATCTCTAATGCCTTTGTTAGCGTGGATACCTTCTTCTTCATGAGCGGTCTGCTGGTGACCTACAGTACCATGAGGGAGATGAAGAGGACTGGCAAATTCAACATCATTCTGTTTTATGTTCACAGAATCCTCAGGTACAGTACATCCCGCCGGGTCATCTCTTGAACAGCAGAGATTACTAGCTTATTATTTTTAGTTGTTTCCATAATGAGGGAGAGGCGAGGGTGTTACCTTTATTTTCCCTTCATTTCTATCTCTCTTTCTATTCTGCATTAATCATGGGGAACCATGTCGATCTTTGTGGGTTAAACATCTAGAGCTTATTCCACCATCTCGAGCTATGAATTAAAGTAAGGAAAACATAAGACTCCCAGGAAATAGGGCCGAAAATTTATTTAGTAAATATTGTAAGCAGGACTTTTAACCATTCATTCTAGGCTTTCACATCATCTTATGGTCAGAGTTTGAGACCTGAACTGCATACAGAACTCCACTTAGAGAAAATGGCAGAAGCTCTACATTCTACAAGGAAACTTGCTTTAAGTTGCATTATTTAAAGGCCGAATTTCTAGTGAAAAGACTAAAGTAAGTCAACCCTGCTTACTGACCCACCATTAAGAATCCATGGGAGTTATAGGTAAAGGAAAGCAGCTGACACATGCACAGCTGTCATTTGATAACTGCCAAAGTACAGTTTAAGTAAAACATCGCTTATGTCCGTATAATGACGCTCACATGAAGAGGTAAAGAACACGAACCAGATATTACTCTTGTTACTGAGTCGTATGATAAGGAATCAATGGTAAGAGCGCATAAGTCACACATCAGTAAGAAAGTAAGGTTGAAACATTGCTAGACACTCGAGAAAAAACAAAACTTGTACACAATCACTGACAATTGTGCCGATAGCAGGAGGTCCACACACACAGCTGGAGCTTCAAGAAAGAGAGGGCGAGAGAGTGAGTGGAGGCGTTTACCACCCCCCACCCTCACGACGCCTCGAAGTCCCGCCCAAAAGCTCGCGGGATACTAATGTCACATTTTCAACTCGCGGCGCTGATTGGTCAACTTAGATGGAGAGGACTGGGGGGTGTCAACGGGTACAATGGACGACATCTGGAGCTCGACCAGCTCAGCTCAGCACCAAATTACAAAAGTGAAAACATTATAAAAGGTTTACTAATATATATTAACATAAAATTCGTCCTGTCACTAAAATAATTATCAGAGACTCTAGCATGGGTATGGTGGTGGTCATGATGTCGCTGGCCACAATCAATATAGTGGGGTATGCTATAACGAACGTAATTGGTTCCAGAACCTCGTTCGTTATAGCATTCGTTCGTTATAGGATTAATCCGTTCCAGGCCCCCAAATACAACCGCTTAACACTGAAAAAATTCTGTGGAAAATGTAAAAAATACGGTACTTTATCTTACCTTAGTGTTATTCAGCATGCAGGTACCCCTAAACACTGGCACATCACTATCACTTCCACTGGGAGTCTTGGCTTTAAGGTCCTCAAACAATTGTTTAGCCTTCTCACAAATTATAGCTTCACTAATGTTACCACCTGCCATTTCTTTCTCCTTTATCCACACTAAGAGTAAATTTTCCATCTCTTCAATCACATTACACTTTGCTTTGCTAAGTCTAAAGATTCCCTTAGCCACTTGCACAGTTTTTAACTCCTCTTTATTCTTCAAAATCGTACATATAGTCGATTTAGCCATCCCATTCATCACTAAGTTTCCCAATGCTTCTTCCATTCTCACGTTTCTTTACAGTTTCTTTCTTAGTTTCAAGGGTTATTAGCTTTCTCACTCGCTTTGGACGACTCATTGTTACAATTGTATACTTGTATAACAAAATAGTTATACAAATAACGCGAATTTCCACATCAAAAGACGAAATTTCAACAATAACACTGGTGCACAATGAGACAAAGATGGCGCCTGACGCTCTTGTTGTGGGTCGCGGTACAACAATATTCATGCGCCAGGCGAAGTAGTCCGGTATTCATCCGCGTTCATTGTAGGAGTTGCGTCCGTTATAGCATACCCCACTGTATATATATATATATATATATATATATATATATATATATATATATATATATATATATATATATATATATATATATATATATATATATATATATATATATATATATATATATATATATATTAAAACAGACAAATTCCACCGGCTCTTTTATTTTAAATCAATATTCAAAATTCAGAAATGTTATGTTAGGTAGAATTGTTTCACACAAGCATTAATAGAAACATGTTATTATTTTTTTTTATAATTCAGGTTATTGAGAATCATTAGAAACAAATAACAATGACACAATCTTAACTGAATCATTATTACAGAATACAAAAATTTTATACTACTTCTGTCTTCCAAGAGAGGGCACCTCCTCTTACATCAATAGTTTTCCTAACATTAGACTCAGGTTATACCTTCACTATAATGCGACTCTGTAATTCTTCTACAGCTTCATATAGAGATAATGTTTGATCCTTACATGGGTGAGGCAGGTTGTCTCCCCCTATCGCCCTGGTGGGAGGGATGTACGCCACTGTGGTCTCCTACTTCGTCAGCGGACCCTACTCCCTCTCTTATAACCTCAGGGACGAATGTCAGAAGAACTGGTGGGCTGACACTTTCTTCGTCAATAACTTCATTAAACGATACGTAAGTTACACCTAAACTTAAAGATACCCAGAGGATTAACTCTGGAAAGCATTATTAACAGGTACACATCACCTCATTAAAACAGGAATCATTTATTGTGGATATTTGTATTATTTTGTCTTTTAAAAATTTTCTTAAACATGAGGCAGTACAAAGTATTAGTGATTATCATTTGCTTGTAAACAGTGCCTTGGCCAGTCCTGGTACGTCTCTGTCGACTCCCAGCTGTACTTGGTGGCCCCGCTTCTCCTCCTACCTCTCTTCTTCTATAAGGCTCTAGGTAAGTGCTGGATGCATCTGCTAATGCTCTTCACCATTACGAACACCATCACTATCGTCACCATCACTATCGTTACCAATATCAACATTATCATCATCATCAACTTGCCCATCTTATAAATTCTATAAGATGCAGCGTGCTTGATGTACCGTCACGACCGTCACCATTGTCACACCACCACCATATTACCAACGTGGTTTGCGGCCAATTCTATGAATTAAAATATTGCTTCTAATGTTTCTCAAAATGACTACAGATGATTTTATTGTTACCTGCCATTCGTGTGTCAGGTAAAGTGTTGCTGTACCTGGCGGGGCTGGTCTCCATCCTCGTACCTGCCATCATTATCTACATCTACGATCTGCCGCCTACCGGTCTCCAGGTAGCCAGGTGAGTTACAGGTGCATGTAAATATGTCTATAGTTTATGTTTTTATGGTAAAAATCTCAGTTGCACGAACATAATCGAGATGAAAAGAAATCATGTACACTGGTACAATGACGCAATTATCGTCTCGGACATATCTTTGCTGTGATTATCTATAAGGACATTATCTAGACCAGAAGGTTTATTTTCAGGATAACATATTTGCCATAGTGACATCCATAATAGCAGGATAGAATCTAGAATGACCTAGTTTCTCTACTCGTATATATTGACAGTGCGAATTCATTTCAGGAATGTTTTTAAATATTATGATCTGGTGTACGGTAAACCATGGTGCCGCGCAGGGCCCTGGGTGGTGGGGATCTGGATGGGGTACGTCCTCTTCTCTCAAGGCCAAGCTAAGGTCAAGCTCAGCAAGGTAAGGTCCTGCACTGTTTGTGAACAGCAAAGACCTTGTCAATAAGTTTGTCTTTTTCTCACTGACATCAATATTTTCCCTGCTTCAGGTATTTTTCCTATTGATGTTTGGACCACAGAATGTAAACAACAGAACAATATGATCTCAAACAATATTTGGCTTCGGCAGTAGATATATCATGAACCATGCTACCTCCTAGAGCAACAGTTCACCAGAGCTATATGTCAGATCTTAATATGACAGTGTAGAAGGACCCCGTAGGTCATGGATGAACAAGAGAAGGCCCTGGAATCTAAGTTGTAAGGATATGACTCACCTCTAGTTTAGTGAGAAACTTCAAATTTATTTAATGCTAAATAATTCAGGTTGTATGCATGAAAGCTATGCTACATAACACTGACTCAACATATCCCACATACATGATTTAGCGACTAGACATGTAGGAAAAATGGACAAAGACAATGGTACACTGCGTGGTCGATAGTTTCTTTACCTACTAAAGTCTCTTTTAAATTTTATGGAAAATCATTAAAAAGGAGAACTTTTATAAGTTATTACTTCGTGGTCAATCACCTTTGACAAACACAATTGAACATGAATGTATAGAGTGACTCAAACAGATGTGTGTCATTCTATTAACACCAGACCAAGTTATGTGATATTTTACTTTTCCTCCATATTTTAAATTGTTGCCAAGAAAACATGGTTGATCAGCTCCCCGCCATTATTTGTGGCTTCTTATATCTTATAGTTCATAGAATATATGGTTCACCATGGGTAGTGGTACCCGACCATTATCTGGGATAGGTCACTACACTGTGATTCACGAGGTTGTGGCAGCTGTGGTCTTGACCCAGTCAGTGACTGACTGAGTGGGACTGTTGCAGACTGTGGTGGTGTGCGGGTGGACGGCGGCGGTGGTCACGGGTGTGCTGGTGGTGTTCGGGATGTGGAGTTACAACACCCTTCCCCCCAAGGCTGGTTACGACCTGGTGACTCAGGTGGCGTATGGAGGACTCTTCAGGAGCGCCTGGGCCGCCGCTCTCGGCTGGATCGTCTACGCCTCTCACAACGGATACGGAGGTTAGTTAACGGCGCTCGGACAGAACCACATTGGACAAAGACCACAAGGGAAAAATCACCTTGGGTTAATTACTACCACCTATATAAATGAACAGTTAGGTTACCACCAGTTGAAGTTCCTTAAGTCCTAACAACCTTTTAGGTTATCGTAATTAAGTGAGGATCTTGTGGTACAACCTTATCATTCATATGATCAAACTCTTAGTATATTAGTGAAATAGTCTCGTAAGACTCTGTAAGAGATACTCATACTTCGCTTAATGTTAGACACAAGGAGTTATGCTCTCACTCGACCTAGCATTAAAGTCCACCAAGTGAAGACTACTGGAGGGCCAAGTGCACATGTCACTGATATATATTGTACAATGGAGATTTCGTGGAGCAATATTTACAATGTTCATAATGAGTGAAAGTTGATAATGTTTACAAATTAATGACGCCCATTACAACTCCTGGACGATTATTATTATTAATATTATTATTACTAGCGGAATCGCCGCCCTCCGGGCGGCTCTTTCGCTAGGCGACGGTAGGACGCCACCTTCCGGGAGGCTCCACATTGTCTGACTGTAGTGCATTAAGGTGTCTGCTTTGATCCTGACTTTGTACTCGTCAGATGGCATGTTTTCCATGGCATTTTTAAATGACTGTACATACGTGTTGCGCTCATGCAGCATTTCTTGGATAGATAGGACAATGTCATGTCTGACACCTTGAATGTTGCCACACCTGATAGAAGTCTGCTTTTCATGATCTCCCATGAAGTAGATTTGGAGGAACTTTGCCTGCTCATCTTCCAGTGGTAAGAGGGATCCTGCTTTGTGATAAACGTGACCCTGGACTTTGAATGTGGGCCTGTATCCGTGCTCACGAACTACTCTGGTAGCTCCAAGGGATGTCATCTGGAAGCATGAATTGTACTTCCGCATATTTTCCAAGAAGTGTTTTGACTCTGGTATTGTTCCCAGCATGAAAGACTTCAATGGCTGTGGTGGTTTTCCAAATTTGGCAGTCGTACTTTCCCATGAGAGCAGATTCTCCTTTGTACTTCTTTGCACCACAGTATTCACATTTCTTATCCATGTTGCCAATGACAACAGAGTGATACTTTTCATATTCTATATATAACACCACCCATCATCACTACATATAACACCATGCATCATCACTACATATAACACCATCCATCATCACTACATATAACACCATCCATCATCACTACATATAACACCATCCATCATCACTACATATAACACATCATCCATCATCACTACATATAACACCATCCATCATCACTACATATAACACCATCCATCATCACTACATATAACACCATCCATCATCACTACATATAACACATCCATCATCACTACATATAACATCATCATCCATCATCACACATATAACACCATCCATCATCACTACATATAACACCATCCATCATCACTACATATAACACCATCCATCATCACTATATATAACAACATCCATCATCACTATATATAACAACATCCATCATCACTACATATAACACCACCCATCATCACTACATACAACACCATCCATCATCACTATATATAACAACACCCATCATCGCTACATATAACACCATCCATCATCACTACATACAACACCACCCATCATCACTACATATAACATCATCCACCATCACTACATATAACACCATCCATCATCACTACATATAACACCATCCATCATCACTATGTATAACACCACCTATCATCACTACATATAACATCATCTATCATCACTACATATAACACCATCCATCATCACTACATATAACACCATCCATCATCACTACATATAACACCATCCATCATCACTACATATAACACCACCCATCATCACTACATATAACACCACCTATCATCACTACATATAACACTATCCATCATCACTACATATACCTATCATCACTACATATAACACCATCCATCATCACTACATATAACACCATCCATCATCACTACATATAACACCACCCATCATCACTACATATAACACATCATCACTACATATACACCACCCATCATCACTACATATATCATCATAACACCATCCATCATCACTACATACATCATCACTACATATAACATCCATCATCACTACATATAACAACATCCATCATCATCACTACATATAACACATCCATCATCACTACATATAACACCATCCATCATCACCACATATAACACCATCCATCATCACTACATATCATCCATCATCATACATAACACCATCCATCATCACTACATATAACACCACCCACCATCACTATATATAACAACATCCATCATCACTACTACATATCATCACACCATCCATCATCACTACATATAACACCATCCATCATCACTACATATAACACATCCATCATCACTATATATAACACATCCATCATCACTACATATAACACCATCCATCATCACTACATATAACACCATCCATCATCATCGCTACATATAACACCATCCATCATCACTACATATCACACTACCATCATCCACCATCACTACATATAACACCATCCATCATCACTACATATAACACCATCCATCATCACTACATATAATCACCACATCATCTATCATCACTACATATAACACCATCCATCATCGCTACATATAACACCATCCATCATCACTACATATAACACCATCCATCATCACTACATATAACACCACCCATCATCACTACATATAACACCACCTATCATCACTACATATAACACCATCCATCATCACTACATATAACACCACCATCATCACTACATATAACACCATCCATCATCACACCACCATATCATCACTACATGTAACACCATCCATCATCACTACATATAACACCATCCATCATCACTACATATAACACCACCTATCATCACTACATATAACACCACCTATCATCACTACATATAACACCATCCATCATCATCACTACATATAACACCATCCATCATCACTACAGATCGGTAAAGTAGTTTCCGAGATTCTCGTGCGGACACACACACACAAACAGACATACTTCTTTGTTATATATATATATATATATATATATATATATATATATATATATATATATATATATATATATATATATATATATATATATAGATTATTATTATTATTATTTATTATATGTGCCATTGGACTTATAAGTATTGGTATCAATTTAATTGTTAAATTTCATATATATATATATATATATATATATATATATATATATATATATATATATATATATATATATATATATATATATATATATATATACTATTATCATAGATATAACAATGTAATAATTAATTCTATTATTAATTAATTTATGACATTATTACACATTATTATTACAATTACTATCATTCTGTGTATCATTGTTATTATATTACACATTAATTATTTTAATATCAGTAACATTGTTATTACCGTTATTCTTGCTTATATTATCATTATCACACTGACTCACCAGGACTGGTCAACGACTTCCTGTCACACCCGTCGTGGCAGCCACTAAGTCGTCTCACCTTCGCGACCTACCTGGTGGCGTTGCCTCTGCAGGTCGTCTTCACCAGTAACTCCAGGATTCCCTTCTACTTCACCCACCTAAATAAGGTCTGCTTGGGGCTGCATGTCTGTTTCTTTCTTATATAACTTTATTCTCTTCTGTTAAGTTTTCTTGTTCTGCGTTAAGTGTCATCTGTTTATATGAATGAAGATTTCTTTAAAATTCATCAGTTCAGTATTTTTTGCTCTCTCGTTCACCTGTTGTATAATGAAGGAAACACCCGCCATGTTCTCACCTGTCATAACATAACTAAATACACCACAGTTCGTAACTATGAGTGAAAACCTTCCTGGTGTAATCTGTTAATGTTCTCTGACCTGTCCTGCCATTGGTTAAATAATTTCACATGTACACTAATATTTCGGTGAATGTAGTCAATGTTGAAGGTTAAAAATAAATACTTAACATTAAAATAAACTTTACTAAACAGTAATGTCTAACGGGGAGCACAAACAAGCATCCCAGTACTTAAGGTCAACCAGTTTGCTTCTCCCGGTAAGATTCAAAGGTATCCGTCATCACACCTTATAAATGATATTATTCCGGAGTAGAAGATTTACTCCTCACACTCCTGGCTCAGGTGATGGAGACGGTTGGCGCCATTGTACTCTCGGGGATGATAGCGGTGTTGGTGTCCCTGACGGTGGAGTCGCCGGTCCTGGGGCTGGAGAAGGTTCTTCTTAGACCAGCTGGTTAGTACCATAACACTCTTGGATAATTATAAGTTCCACATCCCTCATGGTGGCTTCCTTATCATGCACCTCTTGTATAACCAGACAACTAAAGAAACCCACTGTAACTTATCATGTTCCAGACAGTTATATCCCACCGGTTATCACCTCATGTTCCCGACGAGGATATATGTTACTCCACCTGGTAACATCATGTAACTTGCTGTGGAATGTCAGGTAATCGCATCTGCTAGTTACTTTTGTAACTCTTTGCATTTTCAGTTGGAGTTACTTGTCATATCTGTTTGTAGTTATTTCAGAGTACTGTACTTAATATATACTGTACAGTCTATACAATACGGTAATATTTAATTAGAGGTATCTTAAATGCAGTGAGTCTACTCAACCTGAAAATGTAGTTCTAATAAACGCTGCTCCAATAGTAGTAGATGTCCACGAGGCGAACGAGAGACCGCCACCACAGTGGAATGGCATTTCGATGGAAAATGCGGACATATGGGTTAAAGAAACTGTCTCAGAAATTGTCAGGTGGTCGCCAGCTAACCTGTTTGAACCACCCTAGTGTGCGGCCACCAAAGAAATGATTCGGGAGATGATTCGCCTCATAACTGCGTACACTCAAGACTGCTTCCTTGCCCCGTTAGCTCTTCAAATGCTGGCAATAATACCACATCTATTCTGTCAGAGGACACACACAAAGACTAAGCACAAAGAAAATGCGGCAGCAATGAAGAGAAGATTGGCAATGTGGCAGAATGGGGCCCTTGATGACCTCCTATGTGAAGCAAGAACACTGCAGGAGAGACTAAAATTTACAGGAAAGCAAAACACCGATGACGTTGCAAGAAAGTTTGGAAACAAAATGCGTGTGGAAAAAGTGTCTTAGGCTGTAAGATCTCTCACAGAGGAATCCTCCGGTGGGGTGATGCCAATAAACAGAGAGACATTAAAACAACTAAAGAAAAACATCCCCCTGCAAGGGAAGACGAAGGCATCAGGTTCCAGGGTGACTATATCCCACCAAATGCTGTCCTGTTCGAGAAAATAACAGGAGGGATAGTGTGGAAAAAGGCACTGAAGACTCAGGGAGGTGCAGGCCCTTCAGGTCTGGGAGAGTCATCCTCAGCACTAACAAGTTTGGCCCCGTAGCAAGTGATCTCTGCACGGCCATTGCCGTCCTTGCAAGGAAGCTGTCATCCTCGTGCTGCCAACGCCTCCATGCTCTGACAGCCTGCCGCCTCATTCCCCTGGATAAGAATCCACGATGTAGGCCTATAGGGGTGGGGGAAGTGCTGAGGAGGATCATCAGAAAATGCATAACGGAGGTGGTAAAGGATGATGTCAGGGAAGCAGCAGGGAACCTGCAAATTTGTGCTGGCCACCAAGCTGGAGGGGAAGCTGCCATTCACGCCATGAGAACGATATTTGAGCAGCACGATAGTGAGGCCATTCTCCTGGTGGACGCTTCAAACGCATTCAACATACTTAACCGCAAGGCTGCACTGCACAACATCAAGATCAAGTGTCCAAGCTTTGCAATGTATGTTGAAAACTCCTATAGGAATCCATCAGACCTTTATATAGTAAACAACAAGGCTCTAAGAGGTGATACCACCATACAGTCAACAGAGGGAACAACGCAGGGGGACCCTGTTGCAATGGCATTTTACACAATAGGCCTATCCGTCCACCAACACACAATAAAATTTAAAACAACTGAGATCAAGCAAGTGGCGTACGCTGATGACCTTACAGGAGCAGGAAAAGTGGAGGACATCAAAAAGTGGTGGGACTTGGTAATATCACAAGGCCCACAAATTGGGTACCACCCAAATGCCAGCAAGTCCTTCCTCATTGTGAAGCCAGAACATTATGAATGGGCAATGGAGGTGTTCGGTGGAAGTGAGGTCAAAATAACAAAGGCTGGCCAAAGACATCTAGGTGCAGAAATTGGAACTACGGACTTCAAGACCGAGTAAGTAACGGGAAAGGTGAATGAGTGGGTTAGGGAAATCCAAGCTCTGTCTGAAATTGCTAACACAGAGCCACATGCGGTTTTTGCGGCATTCACCCATGGAGTCAAGCATCGCTGGAACTACCTGATGCGCACTATCCCTGATATCGGACCCCTCCTCCACCCCCTGGAAGAAGCAATCAGCGTCAGTTTCATTCCCAAATTAGTGAAACACCCGCACTTAACCCCAGCAGAAAGATCACTCCTTGCACTACCACCGAGACTGGGAGGAATGGGACTGACCGATCCAGAGGAGATTGCTGCCACCGAATATCAAAACTCAGTTAAGCTCACGGCAGCCCTCACGTACCACATAATAGCTCAGAACGCAACAGGTGAGGTGGATGCCAGTGAAGTAAACAAGAGTCTTCCTATGACGTCGATCACGCCATGGTGTGCAAGAAAGGGGGCTTCATATGCATGAGGCATGATGAAGTAAGGGATCTCACAGCAAATATGTTGAAGGAAATCTGCCGTGATGTCAGAGTAGAACTGACCCTCCTTCCATTGGACGGTGAGATTTTCCAACATAAGACTTCAAACACATCAGCCCGTGTTGACCTCAGTGCTAGAGGATTCTGGATGCGGGGACAGTGAGTTTTCTTCGACATCAGGATTTTTTATCCCATGGCCGCATGTCACCGAAACTTAGCTCTCGATGCTGCACATAGGAAGAACGAGAACGACAAGATAAGGGCATATGGGGAGAGAATTCAGAACGTTGATCAAGGCAGCTTCACTCCTCTAGTGTTCACAACCTCTGGTGGGATGGGACCAAGTGCAAGATGCTTCTACACCAGACTCGCAGAGGTGATATCCGAACAGAAGCAGCAGCCCAGAAGTTATGTTACAGCCTGGATGAGATGTTGACTGTCCTCTCTCCTTCGGTCGGCTTTGCTTTGCCTCAGGGGAACGAGAGCATTGGCCCCAAAGCCGACAGCAGTTGCAGATATTGACTATGAGGCAACAGTCACTGAATGCCGCAAAGATCTGCGGCTCAACTAATTCAACACAGCTAGGATAGCTACTTATGTATTAGGATATTTAATATTAAGGTAATAAAATGGTGGTGAAGGAATGGCTATTGGGGGAGGCTGGAGACCATTTTAAAGTAATAGTAGTAATAGTAGTAGTAGTAGTAGCAGTAGTAGTAGTAGTAATAGTAGTAGTAATAGTAGTAGTAATAGTAGTAGTAATAATACTAATAATAGAAGTAGGCTGAGTAATAATATTAAAAATATTGAAGGTATAAGGCAGAATTTAGCCTGCATAATTTTCACAAGGATAAGATCTATTACCCAGTAATACAAATAAACCTGGAATATCCTCACAGAAGTACAAGTTTCTTGGAGTATATTGAGATACTCATGTTACCGCTGGACCACCAACACCACATTTTTGCTGCAGGTCATGGCGGCACCTCTGGCAGCCGACCTGCCAAGCTAGAAGAACCAAATAGCGAGGTGTCTCCTGCTGCAGCCGAGAGCCTCTGCAACACTACCTTAGGACTGAACCCTCCAGCTGCTCCTACCACGGCTGGCCACCCTCTGAAGCCTCCTCAGGGATACAACAATCTGGCCTTTATTGTCGAGGCGGGCGAGGCTAACACAGCTTCTGTAAATGGCAACCTATCATAGCAGGTGTAAAGGGTAACTACCACCCAAAACATTCACATGGCTGTGCCCCCCAAAAGAATCCCATTACACTTGTTCATATTATCATTAGGAATTGTGTAATGATTACCTTATCAAATTTATTTCTGAATATTATAATAGACAATGGTGACCTGTTTTAACACAATTTATGTTTTGATAACTTCGTCTCATATGTATTGTTGGTAAATATTTCAGTTAAACATCAACTATTATATTTTGTTCTGGTTCAATCAATTTATTTTTTTTTTTCTGAAGAGATACTATGGTCCACCAAACTGTGAACACCCAAGAGTTATCCCCGTGGGCCCGGTGTCATATTTACCAACTGTCTGAGATAAGATGACTGTATCACCTCCTCTATGGTTGGTTATTTTAGTAAGTCACTGGGGACATGGCTCAGCCGCATCTACTGATATGTTCACTATTTTAACTATATCTTATTCATATATTGTAGCGGTATTAAGACCTTTAGTGTTCTTATTCATTTGTAATGAAATGTGGATCATATTAAAAGTGGTAAATTGGTGACTCTTTTTATTTTCCTCGTTTTTCTGTGAAGTGTGATTGTGTTTATGAGGACCCCGGCTCACTTACCCCTCACGCGTACGCACCATGACGCGAATCGTGTCATATAATTGGAATGCAATAACTACATTGATAACGCAAATTGCGTCAAAAAAGAAAAAGAAAAAAGAATCGACCAAAAAAGTTTCCAAGATAATCGCATCACATTTTCGTAAGTTATAGATGACTGTATAATCTCACAAGGTAAGCTTCCAGAAAGTACCACTACTTGGGTGGAGATAAGTGCTGGTCAATTGCTTACCAGTCTTCTCATGTCAGCCAAGCTGGTCAGTTATGTCTTTGTTCTGTTAAAAGCTCCCGTCTCCATAAATCTGGTTGCAGCATTGTGTATGTCTGTGTCTCGTGGAGATATGCAGGATTAGGGTAATAGAAGGTACCGTATGAGCTACAAGGAAACGGAAGTAGAGAAGAAAAAAAAAGAGCAGTCACCAAACAAAGGATTTTTCACGTAAATTCATAAAGAGTAGGAACAGCAGACCGACCAAGAGGACGCTATACAGACATGAGCTTTTGAATGACAAATTAGGGTATACATGAAGTCCTCAAGACCTGTTAACGTGGTCACTCGTAAGATAATTCAAGGTCACATTATTAGCTGCAGTAAGTGATATTAACAGCGACAACAGAAGTACATCAGTTTTTGCAACAACCTCGTCACTGTGTAAATAATACTAAATCTAGGTTGTATATATGCAATAATCAGTGCCTAAATATCACAAACTGTCAAGATGCCCAAATACTGAGAAATTTACGAGTGTTTTACATAAGAGATTTAATGAAAAGAACAATTGTCAAGTCAATCATTTGTAGGCGATCCTAATTTTTCGGGAAACTGTATTACTGTACTTTCAATCTAGTAAGACTGGTCTGCACCTTGATGTTCACGACTAGCTTGAACTGAGCGATTGCCATTACCGTGGCAATGAGTGGAGTCGTAAGAGCAACATGATAAAATAATGTCACATTGCTTGGTTAGTGATGTGACTTATCAGACTTTTTTTTACTATCATTACGGTGATTAGGATGCTTACAGATATAAATGTATGATTAGCAATTGACTTTTGGCCGAGCTAGGCGACACACCATGTGGGCAAGATAACTTAGCTCGGAATCAAAGGATGTTTGGTGCAAAGACAAAAAATCCTGACCAAAATCTAGTATATTCTATCATGTGCTGCTATTGACATTGGGGTATTTGCCAGGATTGAACACCAGATTCCCCCCAAAAAGACAAGCTCGCAATTACTATTGGGAAGACTCCACCAGTCTAGGATAACTCCCCCCCCCCCATGGGTAGGGATTTAGTTTCGAAGTGTACTGAGAGAAATTAAATATTAACGGTGAATAAAAGTGATTAATGAAACTAAGAAGAGAAAGAAAACAGAATATGATTATTAGTTTTAATGGAGTCAATATGGAGTGGATATGACGGCATCTGCTCAGGTTTCATGGCTGAATGACTGTATGAATCAAAGACGGATTAAAAAGGACGTGCTGCTTATGGGTGAAGCAATTCTCATGTCTTCATTTTATATGAACTCTTTCAGTCTAGGCCAATATGTGCAGAGAAAATGTAAATAAACAGAATGAGAAAAGTCGATTGGTAACCTTGACGTGTGTTGTTGATATTTGTTCATGAAACATAAAATGCATTATACCTTATCATGAGTGATAATCTACACTCGTGCTAATGAGCTAATTATAGTTGGCCCATACACGGTGGAGGATGGATGTGTTGCTGCTGATGCTGTGTGCTGGGCTCTAGGCAAGACAAAATTTGACTGACCAATTCAGGTAAAGTAATAGAGAATTTAGTATGTTTTTATTTTACCCACACAACTTTTTTTCATGTTATTGCATCACATTTCTTTAAATTAATCAGGAAAAAAAGTACAAGCGCACACATTCGAATATGGTAACAATATATTAATATCCTCCTGAAGCTACAAACATCCTCTAGTGCACATGGAAAATGTCGACACGTGAAACCGTCATTAATTAACGTCAAAACTGCACAACAACCAGCTGTCTTTAAAGCTCATTGTTTATGGAAATCATATATGCATTTGTCTCGTAAAATCAATTAAACAGAAACTTACTCGATTTAGGATATAGTACTGTAGTTATCCATTCACCACTGTGTATGTGTAACAAACAAAAACACCAGTAAACTACTCGCTAACAGCAGGGTCACAGGTTGTTGAGTATGCATATGTATGTGTGGTGAAAACATGCCGACTTCCTGTTCCTTCCCGGAAATGGTACACCTTCAAAGAGATGAGAGGAGGTCTCTTGTGGTCAGGCCAACACGGGTCAGAGCGCGGAGAAATGTGTGTGTGTGTGTGTGTGTGTGTGTGTGTGTGTGTGTGTGTGTGTTCCCAAAACAATATTTTTAAACGAAGTCTCTACCACATAGTATGTCTTAAACAATCACTTATATAATTATCCTCAATGAATATTTACAAATACAAATTAAATTCATTCTATAATAATGACTTAATCATTGGTGGCTGTGATGGAGGTACTCTGAGATAGATTTATAACGTGTTTTTATTTTCAAAGGAAATTCATAAAAAAACAGCTGAAATGGCGCAACGACACCCTGAAAGTGGCTTAGATTAATTCAATAACACAGCCAATCAAGCAGACACATTTAGAGTCTGTGAGAAGATCTTTTGTTCTTGCTTTGGTCGATAATATTCGTGAAACAAGGAACTTTCTTTGAAATGGCCACACGCATGTCGTCACTTGCATCCAAACGGCTTCTGGTCTTTGATATGATGTGAAGGAGCGTTGAAAAATCTACCACGCACTAGTGTCTGGTTGCAAATGGTACGAGGATCTCCAGAACTCTCTTGGACAATTGTGGGAACGCTTTAAACTGAGCGCACCAGAAGTGGTCATTCTGCGGTGCGTTGATGCAAACACCATCCAGATATTTTCGTTACTCTGCAGGTCGACAAGATCATCTTTTATCATATCACTGTCGTCCATGGAATCCAGATTGAAAATGAATGGATTCCTAAATAATGTCTATGCCACAAACATCTCCATTAGAGAAGTGGCCCTGAGGGGTAAAAACCACTTCTCAAAACTATAATAAAAAATGAAGTTTAAACGATCATATGCATCACCTTGACCTAAGATAAGAGATCATGAGACCTTCACTTGTGGGACATAGATAACTGATTAAGTATATCACCATTGAGAGTTACTACAGATACTTGCTTGTGTTTATAGTTAAGTTGATTCACACATGGTGGACGATGGGTGTGTTGTTCCTGCTGCTGCTGGTGTGTGCTCGCCTTACCCTGGGCGTGGAGCTGATTGGATCTGGTAATGTTATGCGAAATGTCATGTTTATATTTTATTGAAACAGAATTTTGTAGAAATTATATTGCAAATTTCATTCAAGTAATTTGGAAACAGAGGACACGAAGAAAATGAACAACAGTCACAACTAAAGGCGGCGTTACACTAACACTTTTTCCGTTATTCTATTGCATAATTTTTCTGGAAGTTGTTAATTTTCTGAGTGTGCCTTGTTACAAACGCATAGAGAACTAGCGCGCCAGTCTTTCTGCGTTCGTCAATGGTAAAGAATGAAGATGGCGTTCTGTTTTTCTCTTAATTTTTATTTTATTGTATCTATCGTCCCCCCGAATCCATAGTCAGTTATAAGTTGAAAATTTTTTTAATGTCGAGACGCATTAAGTTTTTCTTCTATTTTCCGGGTCTGGGTTTCCTCCCTGTGTGGGTGTGGTTCAATTTTCACTTGACAGTCAAACCCGGTTGGTGGAGGGTGGTTGGTCACAGTTGACATCACTAACTTACACAGGCAACGTTGTAAGTATATATGTATGCCATTATTATTGTGATTTATTATATATTATTCTCATGATATATTATTTATTAAATTATAATGTTAAGTGTTATAAGTTATCCCAGTTTGTAATTAACATGGACAAGATTTGGTGTTGTCATTATTTTTTGTTTATACCTTGCAGATAGTTTAACGACAGTAGTGTGTGATTTAAGTGTTTAGTTTAGGAAGGTTTGGAATTGTCACAGTTAGGGTTCATATGTTGTTTTGGTTTTTGCAAGATGCACCATTATTACAGGTCGAAACCTATTTACAATAAATGGTTCAACGACAATACTGTTTTTAAGTAATCGGGGAATCAGTCGAGTATATTGTTGTACACAATATCCTTTTAAGTTGCGATTGGTTCTTACGTTATCGCCTGAGTAAAATATTGTTCTTTCTGTCTCTAGTTATCTTTGATCATTCGTTATGAAGAGCTTGAATATAATACTGAAAATGTACCGAAACACCAATAACCTTAAATTTTCCTTTAAATGACCTTATCCGCGTCTATTAGAACATAATTAGTTTTATTGTGACGGTATAACTAATCATGAAAGTTGCCAGACACCACTTCCATCCCTTCAAGAGTTTTAACGACACGACACATTGCTTCTCCCAATCTGTTTGTAAAGTAATGCGCTGAAAAAAGTTATATTGGGTTGAAAAATATTTCTGCTTAATTACCTGTGCTACCTGGGTCATCTTAGTTGCTTAATTACCTGTGCTACCTGGGTCATCTTAGTTGTATATAATCATGATGTGTGGCGATTTTGGAATAAAAACGGGAATATTTTCAGCGACAATGAAATTGTCAGAGTATTAGCGTCGGTGTTTAGTGTGGGCGTGTTAGAAAGAGTCTTGCCACCTGTAGTGTTTGTGGTACTGCTTTTTACAGCATCCACGGTATAACTGAAAAATATGTGAGGATTGTCTTGGCCAAGGTGTGTGTTGCTGGACAGTGGGGGCATAAGCGGCGTACAAACGGTAATTTGAAGATGAGTGCAGCTATTTTCAGCAAGGTTTTCTTCACCTCGATATACCCGTTAAGAACCAAAGGGTTGTTAATGTAGTGATGTACTCTTTTGTCGGGTAAAGGTCTTTGAAAAGCTGGTACGCCCCTTGGCATTCTAAGGGTCTGGAAGATGTTTATATACCCTTTTGTAGAGTAAAGGTTTTCAAAATTATAATATAACCTTTTTACTTGCAAGGGTTTATGGGTAATAACATACCTGTATAAGGGTACGTCACTACGGACACTCAAAAAACTGTTTGTATACACTTTTCATGGAGTATTTTCTTACTGTGTTCGTACGTGTACAGTTAAAGACAAAAGTCGCGTCGCGGTTTTGCCCGAAGATTAAATATAACTCGTGAAACGTTATGAGTCGCAAGGCAGAGCGCACCAAAAGTTTAGCCCTTAGGCCTATGTTTTCACTAAATTTCACGACACGACTTTTGTCTTTCATTGTCCAAACTAAACAACACTGGGGAGAGAGTGTACCATCATCATCCATCTTAACAGGAAATAACAAGAAATAAACCCACGTGTATATCAGGTACTGTATGTCAGTGTATTTCCAGGGAGGCAGAAGAATGTGTTGTCCCGGGCGGCTGTTAATGTTCCTGATATGTATCTGCCCGTCAAGGTGGACCCCTCCAGCCCCTGTGGCCACGCCCTCCACTCCATGTTCCTCTCCCTCGGTGACAACTCCACCTGGGCCATCAGAAGTAAGTCCAACTACCTGCTACTATGAGCTGGACTCCTCAACGTGTAAGGACTTACTTCCTTATAAAGTTTGTTTAAGTTGTGATGAAAGTTTAGGTTTTGGTCTTTCAGGATGACTTGTTTATGACGCTAAATGGCAGGTGTCGCTTCCTGTAGCATATGTTATTGTTATAACGATAAGAAGAAACTCCTGCCATTAGTGTTGATTTACGTATACGAGGAGTCACTTCATATGCTATAAAACAAAATTTGCAAAATATACTGTACCTTTGGGAATGGTTTCTTGAAATGATTACATTGGTAACTATCATGTTAGTTCACTAAAATATATATGTCTCTTTTCTCCCTTCCTACACACACACACACACACACACACACACACACACACACACACACACACACACATACACACACACACACACATCTAAAACTACTTTTTTTATAAATAAAACAATGGCCTCCAGCCTCCCCCAATAGCCACACCTTCGCCATAATCTTATTACCTTAATTTTAAATATCCTAATACATAAGTAGCTATCCCAGCTGTGTTGAGTTAGTTGAGCCGCAGATCTATGCGGCATTCAGTGACTGTTGCCTCATAGTCAATATCTGCAACTGTTGTCGGCTTTGGGGCCGATGCTCTCGTTCCCTGAGGCAGAGCAAAGCCGACCGAAGGAGAGAGAAGGACAGTCGACATCTCATCCAGGCTACTACTACTACTACTACTACTTCTACTACTTTGCTGTCACTCAGAATCGAGTATGACGATCATCCAGCTATGATACAATGATATAAGTTATTAGGGATGTTACCTTCATTGGTGAGATTTGAGGTGACTAAAGAGGCCGATACGGGACCGGCAGAGTTGTTCAAAGATGTTGCACATGTGGGGGGCTACATCTAGTGCGGGAGGGGCGGTGGCAGTGTCTTTCTGGCGTTGGCGCTTGTCTGCCTCGGTTTGCAGTCGGGCTACCTCGAAAGTATTGACACCTTCTCGTGTGGTGCTCCTCCAAGCGTTACGATGTGAATTATTCGTCTACCAGGTGAGGGGGGGGGGTCGATTTGACACTTTTTCAGCTTTGTCTTAAGATTATCCTTATACCTTTTCAGTTGCCCGCCGGCGTTACGTTAGTATTCGTTAGGTAACTGTAAAGTAGCTGCTTTGGCAGTCTACTGTCGTCCATGAGGGTAACATGGCCAGTCCAGCAAAGTTGTTCATCGATAATGGTAGCTTCGATGCTCCTACAGTTGGCGTCAGCAAGAATAATGGCATTTGTTTTCTTGTCTTCCGAGTGAACTCGAAGGATGGAACGTAGAGTACATTGGCGAAAGTTTTCAAGTGCCTTGAGGTGCCTCCTGTTGTGACCCATCTCTCGCTGCCATATAGCAGGGTGGGGAGGACCACTGCTCGATATACGTGTAACTTTGTAGCTAATTTCAGCTCCCTACAGCTGAAGACACGGTTTCAGAGTCTCCCATTGGCTTGAGATGCACATCTGATCCTCTGCTGAATCTCTTCATCTATGTCTGCAGTGGAGGACAGGTGGGAGCCGAGGTACTGGGAGTGAGTAACATTAGAGAGGGTAGTACCGTTAAGCAACATAGGACTGCTGCCTAGATCCCAGTGCATAAACGACCATCTTATCTGTGCCGCCCATATGCAGAGTTGTGACTGGAGACTCCTGGCAGTCATCTGTGCCTGTCCCCGTCGTCACTCATCCGTCACCATAGGACTTTTGGGGGTATAGGGGTTTTGATGATGATAAGAAGTATGATGAGCTGGATGATGGCTGCACCTGAGTTGATTTATGTGGTGAGGCAGGAGCGCAGGCTGCAACCACACATCTTGGCTCTCCCTCTTCCTGATCCAGTGGTGCAAGTGTTGCAACGACTGGGGAGAGGGAGAGTTGCAATGGACTGCCGATAGCCCAGTTTGTTGAGTTTCACCGAAGTAACCTGTCCATCAGGCATTGCCCTTATCCGCCGGTGTAGTAGTAGTTGGGTTCCCATGTTGGTCGCCTCTTCCGCCTATAACGCCGTTAGGGTCATGCTGGAGCTCTGTAAGCATGTCTGCCTGATGCGCGGTTCCACCGCAGATTTTTCGTTGGGGGTTTACTCCCGTAGCCTTATACCTCCCAAGGTTAATCAGCAAGGCAGCAGGGCAATGGTTGGTAGGCGCCAGGACGTGTCCACGTGCCAGTGGGCCTATGCGCCGTCCCTCTGGGATCCACTGCTACTCCGAGATCCCTTGCTGGTCTAGCCTGGGCCCACGAGGCACCCAGTTACCGTGTGTTGCCACGAGGAGGCACAGTAGGAGTCTTGGTGGTGAATAGGCTATGTACTGGCAGGGGAAGACTTATGCAAGTTGCTTCAATGTTCGCCACGAGGGCTAGCCAGCGGCGGTAGCTGAAAACGAAATGGAGCAAGCAATGCCTGCACCTTAATACTGTCATAATGTTGCCACACTAGACTCATTACACCACCCTGTGCACACACATAAACACACTGGAGGATTTAGTGAGTCTGATGGTTATAGAGCGTAAGGTTTACATCTTTATATCATTCCTGGTATAATAAGTTCAATATTTTGTTCTTTACGGCATTACTTCTTGTCTGTTGATCCGGTCACTCATAATAGGATATACAGGATGACTGTGGATCTTTACCGTTAACGGATCATGTAAAGTCAAACGTGACTCTTATCTCTGTAATTGAAGTTGCTTGTGTGGCTTACAACTGAGTAACAAGAAGTTTATCAGTTAGTGGTTTATGGTGGTGGAAAAGCACAAGCTGGAGCAGGAGTTTTATTTTGTAAAGATTTGGCGCTAAGTCGTCCTCTCACAGAGTAACAACAACTTCGTCAGGGCACAAGTGGGTGTTTATGTATGCTAATGATTACTCTCTCCTCCCATCTCCCAGTGGTGGACTCTTGGGGTAAGAGTAACGACGGCATTTTCTTTGGCAACAGGCTCATAATTGGCACATACGACGAGTGTGTGGGAGTTGTGTCCCCCGACCACTCCCTCAAGGGCAAGTACTGCTCCATCGACCTCAAGTAAGAACCACTGAGATGAAGTTATTATTGTGGAGATACATAGGTGTTGATGTGTGAGTAGAGGAAAGGGTTTGTGGGTTAAATATCTAATTCATTTTACAACTACAAAATATTTATTCTCTTGGAATACTTAAATAAGTTTAATTTTAGCAAATAAGGATGTGGTGTAGCTGCCAGGGAGGCATCAGCACTCCTTGACTGTGCTGTGTTGTAGTGTTTATTCAATCATTTGTATCCATCACAAGAAGCAAGAGTCAAGCATTCTTAGGTCAAAAGATCATATACTAAACTCAGGGTACATAAACCTTTGCCTTAACTCAATGACGTTGCCTTCACACTTCCAGAAAAACGACCACCATAAAAGAACAGGAGACGTCTAGAGTCTGGCACACTGACGCCCAAGTCCCAAATCGTTTACAGAACCTTTTCCCACTAAGGAAGCCTCCACAGATATTTGTTCCTGTACCTGTCGTCAACAGCGGGGCGGGAAGTGAGCTAATGTACGCCACTTGTATTCCCGACGTCTGCACCCTGGAGGAACTTGAGGTACAGTACAATGTTGTTCCCACCGGCTGTAGTCTACATCAGCCTCAGACTTTACTGGACTCCCTGATTCTTGGACCCCTGGATCTCCTCCTCTCTCTTCAACCACCACACCCATGACCCTGTGTGGATAGTACACGCTAAAGATGCTCTCTAATTATTGATATAAATAATTAATCAGTTCTTACTTCCTTCCACTGACTCAGTATTAATGCCTTTCCGTTACTTCCAGCAACAGACATTTCTTCATTGATGTCTCTTACCTATAATAAAGTCAATCCCCTCACCGTAATGTCTACACTCAGGTAAATCCTCCCAAAATATTAGTTAGTAGAACAGATACATTGAATCCCTTTGTGAGGCCAATAGCTCAGCTCAGTGGGGCACAGCAACCATAATGTGTTCATTACCACCAATACCAACCACCACTGTCCAGTAAACAAGACCATTTCTCTCTTCAGATTACAGTCAATAAGACTCCCATTTTACCAGCCAATAATGGAAAAATTCTTGATCTTTCTACACCCAATAACTTCTTAGGGAATTACCAATTTTCTAAAAGTACAAAGAATGCATAAAAATTTTTGTTTGTTTTTTGGTTCCACCATAATTAACTTCTATTTTGCTTTTTGTTCTACACACACACACACACACACACACACACACACACACATATATATATATATATATATATATATATATATATATATATATATATATATATATATATATATATATATATATATATATATATATATATATATATAAGATATATTTCATGTAGATCCACAATGAAAACGTGGATAAGATAAATCGTGATAAAATCACACAGGAAAAGGGAAACAATGGAGCACCTTAGCTTTCGTCTTTATTCTAAGACATCTTCAGAGGCAACTGAATTACATGAACAGAGAGAGGCTTAAATATACAGGGTGACCTTATTAAACATGAGGTCAGGTCATAATGATAACATAAGAACATAAGAATGGAGGAAACTGCAGCGGGCCTATTGGCCCATACTGGGCAGTCCCAACTACACCCAACCCCTATTGCTCATATGAGCATCCAACCTATGTTTGAAGCAATTCAGTGTATTCGAGTTAATGATGATATTTGGTAACTTGTTCCATTCATCCACTACTCTGTTTCCAAACCAGTGTTTACCTATTTCACGCCACACCAACACACCAACACCAACACACAGGTAGAGGAGCTTAAGAGAAGGGAGGCGACGTGACAACTCAGGTCAGGTCAAAATAAGGGACCCACTAAATAACTATCATACATCTAGATCCAAGGTTTTCAAAGCGTTGTTTCCCTTTTCCCGTGTGATTTTATCATATATATATATATATATATATATATATATACACTTCATTTTTAGTCCATATAACACGCGGACTTTGAACATATAATCAACGACCTCACCAGCAAGGAATCAGACCCTCGACCTATTAGGTGTGGTGGGAGCAACACCACGACTGGTACAAAAGGACACTAAAAGCAGGATTCTAGACTCTGTTATATTTCACAATACTGTTCATCAGGCACAGTGGCATGGACTACTCAATGAAGACTGCAATGCCTCTTATCGTTATTATTAGCATTTTTGAATCAGCTGGTATGAAACGCGAGGTACATATATATATATACTTCATTTTTAGTCCATATAACACGCGGACTTTGAACATATAATCAACAACAGAGTCTAGAACTGCTTTTAGTGTCCTTGTGGCCTAGCCGGTAAGCGTTCCCTAGTCACACCCATTAGGTCGAGGGTTCGATTCCTTGCTGGTGAGGTCGTTGATTATATATATATATATATATATATATAAATAAATTTTTGATGAGTGACGCTTCTGTTGCGAAGTTAGCAGGTACAGAGATGTATGGGAATTTGGGAACAGAAAACACTGAACCTGAGAGTGGTCTTGTTACTCTGACCACCATCTACTGACGGCCAATTGTTCCCCACCAGGAGAGCCTCACACAGGTCCTGGAGCCAGCCAACTACACCGCCACTGTCAAATTTTGCTCCGTGAAGGACCCCGAGTTGAAGTTTTCTGGTGCTGATATTATTTTTATGTGAGTACACCAGTGGTATACCTCACGGCCCTAGTGCCGGCCATCCTCGCTACACGAGTGGCAACCATTACCTCACTACACTCTCTGTTACTGGAGGCATTACTTTTGTTTCACTACACCTTAGTTGGTACACTGTCTTGCATCTTTCATGGAGTGTTAGTTACAGGAAGTGTATCCTCGCTATACAATGATACTCCAACATCAGGTGAGTTTAACATTGAGGACATTTGTTATAAGACCACCTAACTGTTGGTTTGTGTAACTGTCATACACACTGTAAAGTGGAGAGTAACAGGTGAGTGACATTTATATGGGACAGTTCCAGACTGACAGATGGAAAGTGCCGGGAAAGGTTCAGTCATTGATAAATATCGGGACAAATTCTTATTAATTTATGGACTTGTTTTCTTAGAAGTGTATTTTCTTTTTTACTTTGTATACAAAATGAAAGGATGACCCATCACCAGGACGTCGTACTCAACAGTGAAGGAGAAAGGCAGTAGAAGAGACAAGAGAAGGAAAGAGACGAAAGTTTAATAAAGAAATAATTAATAAGATTTTTGAATAAATGAAGGTTGTATACTGGAGAGCAACTGTAACGGAGGAGCTTCGTTGTGAGTCTTACTGTGTGTAGATCACAGTGTGGACGTGTAGTAAGCTGTCCTTTCCTTCACAGTTCTGTGGTCAGTGTGTTGATGTTTGTCATGTTGGTCGCATCCCTCGTCGACATCTACATCGACTACACCAACAAACAACATCTTACAAAAGGTGATTCACATCACATCATCTGTAGTTACATGCAGTTTATTTTGTACTAAAAAGAATGGTGAAAGTTATGTTACAGTACCTTATATCATACTCTCTTTCAGGTGGACTGCAGTTCTTGATGCCGTTCTCAGCCTACACTAACCTGGGCAAGATATTCCACATCTCCACCAACAGTTCGCCCACCACCATTAACTGTCTCCACGGCATGAGGTGACACTGACAGCTAGAGTCCTTGATGGTGTATGGCCCAGGATGTGTGACTCCATCAAATAAGCTTTTTAGTGTCGTAACTAACAGTCAGTGTGGCTCCAGAGTGGTAGATAGGTCAAGCCATAAGGTTACAGTGTTACCCAGTTTTGTATGAGCAACATCACCAGATTTGTTCCATTGGGTACAAAATAAAGCTGTTTCTCTCTTTAGGCATCACCTTCGTCACATATGCATATAAACTATATTTATACAGCTGTTTCTTTATAGAATTTCTTAATCTAGTAAGTAGAGGAGAGAGTTAGGTATCCTTCACAATTCCTCTTACCCCAAAGGTGATCACATATTTCAGTTCATCACTGGTCTAACCTCCACTGTCTCTTCCCTCAGAGTACTCTCCATGACATGGGTGATGTACGGCCATCAATATGCTAGTAATGCTTCCCAATCAGCCAATTTCTTTGTCCTTAATAAGGTCAGTCGATATGTGTGTGTGTGTGTGTGTGTGTGTGTGTGTGTGTGTGTGTGTGTATCAGAAGGCAGTATTAGCATTACAGTGTGTACACATTGATGCACTGATGTATAATCGGCCATAGTTCCGCCTGGTACATTGTTGGGGCGTTTTTTGTGATGTGGCAGCCCTAATGAAAAGAACTCCCCAACCTCTCCTTCTCCCTCCGTCTCAACATATCCCCACACCGTTACCGTCTAGCAGATAGCGGATAGGAGCTTATGACGTTCTATTTTGTGAACTACATGTATTAAAATTGTAACTACACACAAAAAAAATTTTCATTCAGAGATAAAGATGGATTGCTTATTTCGCATTCTTAAGCTGACTACTATAGTAAGGTTCATTAGGGCCATTCCGGGGGTTTTACTACGACGTAACGTACAGGGCTGCCGCATCTTATAAAACGCCCCAACCACTGTACCAGATGAAACTGTGGCCGACTATACATACGTCTTTATGTGTTGCCGCACATCCATTAATGTTGACATGTGCATATGTTTCTACAGTAAAAGTGAAGCTAACATTACCTGATCGGGAAAGTGTTGGGTAATATTTTGTCGTCCACCACCAATGCTACTCTCTCCCTCCACAGCGAATCAACGGCTTCCTTTTCCAAGCCATCTCTAATGCCTTTGTTAGCGTGGATACCTTCTTCTTCATGAGCGGTCTGCTGGTGACCTACAGTACCATGAGGGAGATGAAGAGGACTGGCAAATTCAACATCATTCTGTTTTATGTTCACAGAATCATCAGGTACAGTACATCCCGCCGGGTCATCTATTGAACAGGAGAGATTACTAGCTTATTATTTTTAGTTGTTTCCATAATGAGGGAGAGGCGAGGGTGTTACCTTTATTTTCCCTTCATTTCTATCTCTCTCTCTTTCTATTCTGCATTAAACTTGGCAAACCAGGTCAGCCTTCGTGGGTTAATCACTTGGAAGTTATTAAGTAAATTTAATTGATGTATTTAAATGAAACAATGAACATAAAACTCTTCAATTAGTAAGGAATAATATAATTTAGTACATAATATAGGCAGGACTGCTAATTCCTCTTATTGTAGGATTTCTCACCTTCCTGATGGTATGCGTTTAAGATACCTAAACTGGGTCATCATTACTAAATTTTCCTTTAATTTAAGGAAAAAGACTTAAAACGTCAGAGCTCTCGCGTTTGTGACAGACTCAGGTTATACCTTCACTATAATGCGACTCTGTAACTCTTCTACAGCTTCATATAGAGATAATGTTTGATCCTTACATGGTTGAGGCAGGCTGTCTCCCCCTATCGCCCTGGTGGGAGGGATGTACGCCACTGTGGTCTCTTACTTCGTCAGCGGACCTTACTCCCTCTCTTACAACTTCAGGGACGAATGTCAGAAGAACTGGTGGGCTGACACTTTCTTCGTCAGTAACATAGTTGATAAAATTGTAAGTTATACTCAAAGTTCAGGACAACAGTGTGAGAGAGAGAGAGAGAGAGAGAGAGAGAGAGAGAGAGAGAGAGAGAGAGAGAGAGAGAGAGAGGTTATCATCAGTTTTGAAGGTATTGTGTATATTTATATCATGTTGTCTTCCAAAAGCCTTCTAAAACATGATTCAGTATAAAGTATAACTAAATATTTTATCATTTGCTTGTAAACAGTGCCTTGTCCAGACCTGGTACGTCTCTGTCGACTCCCAGCTGTACTTGGTGGCCCCGCTTCTCCTCCTACCTCTCTTCTTCTATAAGGCTCTAGGTAAGTACTGGATGCATCTGCTATCATTGGGTAGAAGTTAGAGTTAAAAATTTAAGAATAAATGCAGTGTTAAAGATACTCACAGACTAAGAGTAAGCAAAATGTTAACCTTAAGTTCCACTCATGAACAAATAGATAGTGTTCTCATGAAATCATTAACCACACAATAAGAAAAAATATACAAAGGTTAAAGTAATCAATGTACACTCTCCCCCAAAAAGTATCGGCCCCTTTTCCCATCGATACAATGTGTCATAATGGACGAATATTTCCGATCACTAATTGTGGTTCCTGCATTATGTTGGTAGGTCTGCCTTCCTAATATCTATGAAGTTGCCAGTTATTATTTCTGGCATTTGTTGTAATTATGGTGAGTCACCTTGCTCTATCTTTTGTAGAATAATATGATATTAATGTAGCGAAAATATATCATCGGTAGTCAGAGTGTGGGTGTTTTCTGCTGGAAATCCATGACCAATACAAGTAACTCGAGACTCATTGGAAAACACAGCCTGCACCGACAGACATGGAGAAATGTCACTTTCCGAAGAACATCATAGCTATAAATCAATGTTTGTTAGCTATGTCCTTGTTGCTTAGGCCTATGTCGTGAAGGGCGACGATACTGCCTCGTGTTGCCTGTGATGTCTCCATGGTCACTGTCAATCCCATGGGAGGACTTGACGACATCGTCTCGTAGTGTGTATCAGATATGTTCCGTTGCCAGCACGGATCATGAAATGATACGTTATATTAATAATTGTTACCTCATTAATTGAGGTAGAAATAATATCGAAATGCAGTAAATCATAATGTTATTGGAGTTGGATAGGGCATCATAATACACCTGTATTTACTATATTTGCAAATGAATGTAATATCCGATTATAGTGTTTCATATTTCATTCGAAGCAGTTCCGTTGTAACCTTGGTTCATGAAAACATAGTAACGTTATATTTCTATTTGGCAACTCATCCCCTGGGGCTGAAATAGTATCTAAGGTGTATAAATCAACAGGGTTACTCATGACGTTATTGATTTTGCATGTGGTATCACAATTCATCCTATTTCATTACATCATGTTGAGAACAGGTGGTATACTGCAGGTATCATGGTGATTATCAGGTACAAGAAGAAAGAACAAAAGGTGTAACTCACAATCAGAAATACCAACTGAACCGAGACTGTTGTACACGTGTTATTGTGTTCGTTCCCAAATACATCAGGCCTAGGGGAGCCGATACATTTTGGGGAGAGTGTACAAGAGATTTTCAAAAGAACACTGTGATGCTCTTAGCACAGAATCACTTGCCAGGAATAAGTAAGTGTCGTGTCATAGTAAAAAAAGAATTATTGGGAAGGCACACACAAGTAGAACACATAACAAAATTGTTTTTTTAAGGCTGTTCACGTCCATAGACTCAAAAGAGATGAATATTCACAGAACTTAGCGTAAGTTGGCTGGGCCATGATGACTCAGGAACCAAGAACTCAGTGAGCTGAATGGATAGAGTGAGGAAAATGACTTGAAGGGTTGTGAAGCCTCGGTAGGGACGTCACATTTTTTTCTCAAACGTGATTGGTTAATTACTCGTAGAGGGTGCCAACCAATGCTTCGAGAAGATTATGAGACAAGTGAGGCTGAGTTATCGGAAGTTATAGATGTTTCCACGTGGGTAGCAAGTGAGCGAGTGAAACGTTACTGATAATGTTCTTCTTAGTATGATCACCATTACGAATCATCACAAAGGTCGTCACTATCATCACCAAGACTATCACTATCATCACCAGGACTATCACTATCATCACCAAGACTATCACTATCATCACCAAGACTATCACTATCATCACCAAGACTATCACTATCATCAACAGGACTATCACTATCATCACCAAGACTATCACTATCATCACCAAGACTATCACTATCATCACCAGGACTATCACTATCATCACCAGGACTATCACTATCATCACCAAGACTATCACTATCATCACCAAGACTATCACTATCATCACCAAAACTATCACTATCATCAACAGGACTATCACTATCATCACCAAGACTATCACTATCATCACCAAGACTATCACTATCATCACCAAGACTATCACTATCATCACCAGTACTATCACTATCATCACCAGACTATCACTATCATCACCAGATCATCATCAGGACTATCACTATCATCATCAGACTATCACTATCATCACCACGACTATCACTATCATCACCAGAACTATCACCATCATCACCAGGACTATTCACCAGGACATCATCACCACGGACTATCACTATCATCACCAGGACTATCACTATCATCAACAGGACTATCACTATCATCACCAGGACTATCACTATCATCAACAGGACTATCACTATCATCACCAAGACTATCACTATCATCAACAGGACTATCACTATCATCACCAGGACTATCACTATCATCAACAGGACTATCACTATCATCACCAGGACTATCACTATCATCACCAGGACTATCACTATCATCACCAAGACTATCACTATCATCACCAAGACTATCACTATCATCACCAAGACTATCACTATCATCACCAAGACTATCACTATCATCACCAAGACTATCACTATCATCACCAAGACTATCACTATCATCACCAAGACTATCACTATGACTAGGACTATCAGAATTAATTAATGCCTCACACCATAATTCACACTAACTTGCCATAAAGTACACTCGTAAATAAAAGGAATATTTATAACTGAACAAGTAAATTATGTTGTTACCTGCCATTCGTGTGTCAGGTAAAGTGTTGCTGTACCTGGCGGCCCTGGTCTCCATTCTCGTACCTGCCATAATTATCTACATCCACAACCTTCCGCCTACCAGTCTCCAGGTAGCCGAGTAAGTAGTTTTACTTTTGCTTTGGTTATCTATAAGGACAGTATCTAGACCAGAAGGTTAATTTTCAGGATAACATATTTATCAAAGTGACACATCCATAATAGCCTTATAGAGTCTAGGATACCCCAGTTTCTCTACTCGTATATATTTACAGTGTGGATATATTTCAGGAATATTGGTGATTATTATTACATGGTGTACGGTAAATCATGGTGCCGCGCAGGGCCCTGGGTGGTGGGGATCTGGATGGGGTTCGTCCTCTTCTCTCAAGGCCAAGCTAAGGTCAAGCTCAGCAAGGTAAGGTCCTGCACTGTTTATGAAAAATCTGATTTACGAGATGAAGTTTGTCACCTATAATATACTGTAGGTGTTGCATCGCCTGAGTCTCACCTACATACAACCAACAAGCAGGACACATTTGACCTCGACATAAAGTAGAAAGTCTCCACCTGTGGTATACCTGCCAATTAACAACATACTGTAGTATAATTTGACTCAGTGTAGAAGGACCCCGCAGGTCATGGATGAACAAGAGAAGCTGTAAACCTGGAACCTAAGTTGTAAGGATATGACTCACCTCTAGTTTAGTGAGAAACTTCAAATTTATTTGATACTGAACTTTTCTGGTTTTATGCATCAAAACTATGCTACATAACACTGACTCAACTTATCCCACATAATTGATTTAGCGACTAGACACGTAGGGATAATGGAAAAGGAGAACTTTTAAAAGTTATTACTTCGTGGTCAATCACATTTGACAAACACTATTGAACATGAATGTATAGAGTGACTCAAACAGATGTGTGTCATTCTATTAACACCAGACCAAGTTATGTGATATTTTACTTTTCCTCCATATTTTAAATTGTTGCCAAGAAAACATGGTTGATCAGCTCCCCGCCATTATTTGTGGCTTCTTATATCTTATAGTTCATAGAATATATGGTTCACCATGGGTAGTGGTACCCGACCATTATCTGGGATAGGTCACTACACTGTGATTCACGTGGTTGTGGCAGCTGTGGTCTTGACCCAGCCAGTTACTGACTGAGTGGGACTGTTGCAGACTGTGGTGGTGTGCGGGTGGACGGCGGCGGTGCTCACGGGTGTGCTGGTGGTGTTCGGGATGTGGAGTTACAACACCATTCCCCCCAAGGCTGGTTACGACCTGGTGACTCAGGTGGCGTATGGAGGACTCTTCAGGAGCGCCTGGGCCGCCGCTCTCGGCTGGATCGTCTACGCCTCTCACAACGGATACGGAGGTTAGTTAACGGCGCTCGGACAGAACCACATTGGACAAAGACCACAAGGGAAAAATCACCTTGGGTTAATTACTACTACCTATATAAATGAACAGTAAGGTTACCACCAGTTGAAGTTCCTTAAGTCCTAACAACCTTTTAGGTTATCGTAATTAAGTGAGGATCTTGTGGTACAACCTTATCATTCATATGATCAAACTCTTAGTATATTAGTGAAATAGTCTCGTAAGACTCTGTGAAAGATACTCATACTTCGCTTAATGTTAGACACAAGGAGTTATGCTCTCACTCGACCTAGCATTAAAGTCCACCAAGTGAAGACTACTGGAGGGCCAAGTGCACATGTCACTGATATATAGTGTACAATCGGGGTCAAAAGTCTTGAACATTTAGCAATATCTGGCATCTACTTGTGAGTTATATACATAAATGGTTGGGATATACTAATAACACTACTTGTCACCAAATATTATGCCTGTGTAAAGGCTTAGGACTTTGGGATATAAATACCTTGCCAGCCTAATTAGGATCTTATAATAGGAAAATCAAGAACAATGGGTTTCCAAGGGATAACAAACAACCGTTAGAGATTGACATCTCTTTCCTAAGAAAATAATTACTATAATTGACACCACTCACACAAATATTAAATAAACAATTACGGGAGTCAAACAATTACGGGAGTCAAACAATTACGGGAGTCAAACAATTAAGGGAGTCAAACAATTACGGGAGTCAACAATTACGGGAGTCAAACAATTAATGGATATTTCCTACGGCGGCAGTCCGGTGGAATGTTCCGTTGACGCGGTGGTCTGCTCTCAGGGGGAAGGACCAGGGCAGCTTCCTCTCTTGGCGCCGGCGTTGGTGGGCGATGTCTTGCCACACAGGACAGACGCCAGGGCACGGACGGTGGATAGGGCGTGGAGGAAGTGGCGATGACGTGGCAGCCGCGGTAGTAGCTGGAATAGGTGTCCGGAGGTTGACAGCCGAATAGTGAACGTCCTGGACGAATATTATCGGTATCGGAATTGTTAGCATTGCCGTCCATTTCAGGATTACGTTTCTAATATTTACTAAAGTCATCGATTTAACACTTAATTTATTTTCTTTACTTCTATTAGTAGTATTGTTTTATCATTGTCATTATTACACATTAATTATTTTAATATCAGTAACATTGTTATTACCGTTATTCTTGCTTATATTATCATTATCACACTGACTCACCAGGACTGGTCAACGACTTCCTGTCACACCCGTCGTGGCAGCCACTAAGTCGTCTCACCTTCACGATCTACCTGGTGGCGTTCCCGCTACAGACCGTCTTTACCAGTAATTCCAGGATTCCCTTCTACTTCACCCACCTGAATAAGGTCTGCTTAGGTTTTCATTTTGTCTCACTCTTTCTCTGTCTTTCATTTATTTTCACTTTTTGTTATGTCTTCGCCAGTATTTTAATTAAGCAAACACCTGCCATATTGCCACCTGCTATAATTATAATTACTGAAAATACCAAAATTCAGAATTATGACTGAAAATTTCCCCCTGATGCGATATATCAATTTTTCCCCTACATTTGTATTAATTTATATCGTTGGAGAGAAATTACCTCGCCTCAGTCTTACTTATTCTGATCTTTACTCAAATGAAAAACTTCAATCTTGCCATATTACATCAATATGAATCTCAAAAGGTATAGTAAATTTAGTAAGGATTAAATGATCACTGTATTGAATGTGAACGTAGGTTGGTAATTTAATGTATGTCCGAAGCGTTTACAGCAAGACAAATACAACAGTAGTTCAGTTAAACACAATTATGTTACCTGAAAACACTGAAATTGAACCTAACCTAACCTAACCTAACCTAACCTAACCTAATCTAACCTAACCTAACCTAACCTAACCTAAACTAAACTAAACTAAATTAAGCTAAGCTAAGCTAACCAAATTTCATACATTTTTGCTTCCAATAATTGAAATTCTTTGAGTTTTTGGAGATGAATTTCGGTTAAGTGCTCGTGGTGCAGAGTTAGGCCGAGACACAGTGGGTGGCGGCTGTCATGTGAAGGGTTTATAAAGGCATTTCAGAGTGTCTTGGTTTATGTATCGAGGTGAGAGACTCTTAAACAGCTTATTGTTTAACGTTATCCATCAATATATTCTTTTACGAAGCGTCAATTGTGGTCCAGTATTTCTTAAAGCAAAATACCCGGTTAGCTTAACGAACCATGGTAGTAATGTTTGGATTAATAAAAGCACTGATAAAGGTTAAAAAGGTATATATTTTATGTTAAAATAAACTTCACTAAACAGTAATGTCTACCGGGAAGAACAAACAAGCATCCCAGTACTTAAAGCCAACCAGTTTGCTTCTCCCGGTAAGGTTCAAAGGTATCCGTCATCACACCTTATAAATGATATTATTCCGGAGTAGAAGATTTACTCCTCACACTCCTGGCTCAGGTGATGGAGACGGTTGGCTCCATTGTACTCTCGGGGATGATAGCGGTGTTGGTGTCCCTGATGGTGGAGTCGCCGGTCCTGGGGCTGGAGAAGGTTCTTCTTAGACCAGCTGGTTAGTACCATAACACTCTTGGATAATTATAAGTTCCCTTCACTAGTGCGTTTACAGGGGCTCGTCAGATTTTGTGCAGTGTGGCAGCCCTGTGTTTGTTTACATTCGACCGAAGGAAACTCACAAAAGTAAATATACTCTGGAATCAAAGTAAACGAATATTTCAAAGATGATGATTTGTGTAAAGTTTATATGGCGAGTTCCTGTAAACGCAGTAGTGAAGGGGACTGTACCTCTTTTATAACCAGACAAACTAACCAACCAGACCTAAACTTTAACCAGACTTATATCTTTGTGATATTTAACGTTTATTTGTTCTTACATTGATGTTTCACTAACCTTATATTTGTCATAGTTCTTATTTCAAGGTATAAAAGTTATATAAATATAAGGCCAATAATAACTACTTCCCAATATATATCTGTTCCCTAAACCTATGTATTTTAATTGGTTAAAAAAAATGAAAGTTTATTATTTCAAAGAGGAAAAACTGAGAGCCAGGTTAGGAGCTAGGCAATACCTGTTATTCATCTCGCTTACCGTAACCAAACATCCATCATCCTTCGCTTTCTATCATGTCGAGAGGATTTTTCCTGAAATATCTGAGGTCTATGTCATCGAATATTGAAAATTCATCATTAAAAATTGTTTTCCAGCCAAGTAAAGTCGCATAAAATTGATAAAATATTGATTTTATGTTGTCAGGTCAGCGATAGGTAGCAGATTAGGAAAACAATTGTCGCCTCATCTCCTAGACACATAAGGTTGGCTGGTGTTAATGATTTTACTTAGATAATGAAGCACTTTCGTGTACAAATTAAAGGGAAGAAGGTACAGCAGTGTCTCGACCTTTCTAGTGAAACAGTTTTGATGTTATTATAGTGATACAGTTGAAGACGTTCAGCTTACAGGGCATTTTGCCTTCTGGTGTAAAAAGTAAAAAAAAAAAAAGAATATTGCAGGTGATGGTGCCGCTGCTTCTCGCCAACCTCCCAAGACAGATGGGCCTCAAGACGAGTTAACTCCTGCAGCAGCTGAGAGCTGCTCCAACACTCCCCGGGGACTGAAGCCTGCAGCTGCTCCTGCCATGGTAGGCCACTCCCCAGAGCCTGCCCAAGGATATGATAACTTGGCTTGTACTATCGAAGTTGTTGAACCTCCACCCTCTAAGGTTAACTTGGCTTCTGTTAACGGGAACAATATACAAGTTGTGGACATGCCTGCAGGTGTTTAAACAGCGACACACAATTGAAAATGCTCACTCTTCCTGCAGTCATTCACAACCAGAGCTCACTCTTACTCCAGTCAAGGATCACCAGAGCTCACTCTTCCTTCAGTCAGTGACAACCAGAGCTCACTCTTCCTCCAGTCAATGATCACCAGAGCTCACTCTTCCTCCAGTCAAGGATCACCAGAGCTCACTCTTCCTCCAGTCAAGGATCACCAGAGCTCACTCTTCCTCCAGTCAATGATCACCAGAGCTCACTCTTCCTCCAGTCGTAGATGACGGTTTGCGCTCTTGGAATCTCGTTCCGGAGTTTCGTATCTGTGTTGTTCGTATCTCGAATGTAGTTATAATGAAGCAGTATATGAAGGAGGAGGAGGGCAGAGCATTCCTGGACGACAGCGGGTGTGGAGCTGGTGGGCGCTGGTCGACGGAGCCGGTTGTGATTGATTGAGTTACTCTGATTTGAACTATAATGTAAGTTTATAACGTTTTTATACTTATGTATGTTTCATAACTGTGGTGATTGTTAATGTGTGGTTATTGATGGTTATTGGCTACTGGTGGTCAGTGTTATTACAGTATATTGTGCAAACAAATATCGCCTTTACTACTAACACTTCCCTTCAGTAAAATAAGTTAATTAAAGTCTACTTACATTGAGAGACTACACCTGGGCGATGCTAAAGAGTCAAAGAGTAAAGTATAATGAATAAGACAATAAATATAATGTAATTGTGTCGATGAATATAAGTGAACAACAGTTTTGAGTTTGTGTAGGGTGTTGCCGCTTCGTTCATAGCAGGTGTCGAGTTCAAGGGTGCCGGAGTTGGGCTCTATGAAGCTGGCTACGTTATAATTACCCTCGTCAGCAGTACAACACCAGATAGGATATAGAGCTAAAGTGATTACGCTTGTTGTTCGTCTTTCTAATCATTTGAGTATTATCGAACATTTGTCAAAGATTCTCAGCAAGCAAAATGTGATACCTGGTAGGCCTATATATTTTTTTTTCTTCGTTGACCTAAGTATAATGTAGCTATTCGACCCTAATGAGTATATTAACTACTGATGGGTTTAGTCCAAGTCACAATTAAAAAAAAATCTGGATTCCTTAATCATCTCAAAGGTAATGATATTGTCACTTTAGTTATAATTTCTCAGTCGTTTTATCATTTTACGGGAAGTTGGAATAAGTAAAAAAAAAATAAAAATAAAATCCATTTACTCTCTCGTACGAACTAAACTACAACTTGGCATCACAAGGCTTAAAGTCAGTCCTAAACAAGTGTAGGTTCAAGGACATTATATATTGTCCGGCTGGAAACCCTCCTCCCAGTGCGTGTTGACATACGCAGTTGTAAAGAGTTTCACATTAAACTCCTGGCCATCGAGTTTTATTTATAGAACTCACACAACATTTGAGTTAAGTGTTATTTTTCACGTATTTCAGAACTAGTGAGTTATTATTTCGAGTATAAATAGAAAATTATATCCGGTTTATATTATGTTGGTCTTAGCTCTCAATTCGTCCTCAAATATCAGTGGTTAACAATCCAATAACTAAGGTACGGTAAACCTCTATATAACGGACTTCTCTCTATATATAATCCGGTAGATGGGAGTTTTACATCTAACGGACCCTTGATATAACGGAATTTCATCTCCATATAGTCCGGTAAATAGAGGTTTCACTGTATTGTCTCACACTTCATAGGAACAATATTGTCCTTAAAAGTATGACTGAAGTTCTAAGTCTTTGATAATAATGAAGAGGAGGTTAAACATGACGCTGGTGTGCAGTTCATCCTTGTTCACTCTTAATCCGTCTTAAAACATGGAGGTGATTTATTCCCTGACAATTGTTTCCTGTTTTGGAATCCACAGTTCTCAGAATATAATATAATAACTGCAACATCATCATGAGTAATACCTTAGTTATGGCGGAATATGTTGTGAAAATACTGGCGATACTCTTAAAAAAAATAAAAAGTATATTTCAATCCTGGAATAATATTAGAGAAAGAATTTATTCCCCTAAAGTAAATTCAAACAGACAATGTTATCGTCAACGGTGAGAGAATCTTTTATTACAGGTGAAAAATGAATCACACTTTACCTGCATCACCAAGGTATAAAATCACCATATTTACTCTGAATAACAAGTACCCTAAATAGTGACGTATTAAGACTAAATATAATTTAGTAATATACTGAGAGAGAATTGACGTTAATATTAGTTAATCAGGGAAGCTCACTCGTGGTTCTCTGGTACGACGATGAAGCTTAGCAGGGTGTGTCTGATCCTTGAATATGTGGTAGGAAATGTTGACGTGTGAGGCTGTGTGGACGTGTGAGGGTGTGTGGACGTGTGAGGGTGTGTGGACGTGTGAGGGTGTGTGGACGTGTGAGGGTGTGTGGACGTGTAGTGTGTAGACGTGGCAAGTGTGTAGACGTGTGGTGTGAGTGTGTAGACGTGTGAGTGTGTGGACATGTGAGGTGTGTGTGGACGTGTGAGGCTGTTGACGTGTGAGGTGTGTGGACGTGTGAGATGTGTGGACGTGAGGTGTGTTGACGTGTGGTGTGCGGACGTGTGAGGCTGTATGGACGTGTGGGGGTGTGTGGACGTGTGGGGTGTGTGGACGTGAGGGTGTGGACGTGTGGTGTGTGGACGTGTGGGGTGTGTGGACGTATGAGGGGTGTGTGGACGTGTGAGGGTGTGTGGACGTGTGAGGGTGTGTGGACGTGTGAGGGTGTGTGGACGTGTGAGGCTGTGGACGTGTGGTGTGTGGGTGTGAGGAGGTGTGTGAGGGTGTGTGGACGTGTGAGGTGTGTGGACGTGTGAGGGTGTGTGGACGTGTGAGGCTGTGTGGACGTGTGAGGGTGTGTGGACGTGTGAGGGTGTGTGGACGTGTGAGGGTGTGTGGACGTGTGAGGCTGTATGTTGACGTATGAGGCTGTATGTTGACGTATGAGGCTGCATGTTGACGTGTGAGTCTATTATTATCACCAGGTAGCGAGTCAGGTGTTCCCTATACATCTCATGGTCGAGGAGAGAGAAGGACTTGCTCACACACACACTGGCAGCTTTACCTCACGTCACGTTGTGTTTTTGTTCTCAACCTCCTGCCAGCAGTATCCCCTTGTAACTTGTGTCACGACTCCTCAACACAACCTGCCTTCATTATTTTGGTGGCAGGACCCGTGTTTTGGTGGCTGGACCCGTGTTTTGGTGGCTGGACCCGTGTTTTGGTGGCTGGACCCGTGTTTTGGTGGCTGGACCCGTGTTTTGGTACTGGACTGTTTTGGTGGCTGGACCCGTGTTTTGGTGGCTGGACCCGTGTTTTGGTGGCTGGACCCGTGTTTTGGTGGCTGGACCCGTGTTTTGGTGGCTGGACCCGTGTTTTGGTGGCTGGACTCGTGGTTTGGACGGTTGGACTCATGATTTTCCTGGACTACCACAGTCCGTTCTGTCCTTCTTGCTACTATGTCATGTAAACAAGTGTTCCCTCGTGTTGTTGAGCTGGACTTAATGAATTCCCTTATTAATGTTTGCCATTAGTGAGTGAGTGAGTGAGGAGGGAGGTGCTGCTTTGGTGGAGTGAGTGAGGGAGGAGGAGTACTGTGGCTTTGGTGGAGTGAGTGAGGAGGGAGGCACTGTGCTTTGGTGGTGGTGGTGAGTGGAGTGAGTGAGGAGGAGGTGCTGTACTTTGGTGGTGGTGGTGGTGGTGGTGGTGAGGAGGGAGGGTGCTGTGCTTTGGTGGGGTGAGTGGTGGGTGGTGGTGGGGAGGAGGTGCTGTGCTTTGGTGGTGGGTGGGTGGGGAAGGAGGGTGCTGTGCTTTGGTGTGGTGGTGGTGGGGGAGTGCTGTGCTTTGGTGGAGTGGTGGGTGAGGGAGGAGGGTACTGTACTTTATGGTGGTGAGGGGTGAGATTGCTGTGCTTTGGTGGGTGGTGAGTGAGGAGGAGGGTGCTGTGCGGGTTGGTGGTGGTGGGTGAGGAGGTGCTGTGCTTTATGGTGGTGGGTGAGTGGGGAGGGAGGGTGCTGTACTTTGGTGGTGGTGGTGGGGAAGGAGGGTGCTGCTGGTGGTGGTGGTGGGAGGGAGGTGCTGTGCTTTGGTGGTGGTGGTGGGGAGGGTGCTGTGCTTGTGGTGGTGGTGGTGAGGAGGTGCTGTGCTTTGGTGAGTGAGGTGAGTGGGGAGGTGCTGTGCTTTGGTGGTGGTGTGGTGAGGGAGGAAGGTGCACTGTACTTTAATTGAGTGGGTGAGTGAGGAGAATTGCTGTACTTTGGTGGTGAGTGGAGTGAGTGAGGAGGGAGGGTACTGTACTTTGAGTGAGTGAGTGAGGAAGGAGGGTACTGTACTTTGAGTGAGTGAGTGAGTGAGTGAGTGAGGAGGGAGGGTACTGTACTTTGAGTGAGTGAGTGAGTGAGGAGGGAGGGTACTGTACTTTGAGTGAGTGAATGAGTGAGTGAGTGAGGAGGGAGGGTACTGTACTTTATGAGTGAGTGAGTGAAAACATTATCGAACTCGCCTTCAATTTGCAGCCATAACCATCCATAAATTAGTATGGCTTTAATACCTAGATAATTCAGTACACAATACCAGGCCTCATAGACAACCGCTCCTGCTTAATACTCGGGTTAATATCGTCATGATGCATTATGCTGGTAATATTCTGCCGCTGCCTCAACAATATTAGCATATGCTGCTACCTGCCTCAGGTAGGAGCTGTGTTATTGTGACATTCACGGCTTTGTCTTTCTGTGTGTGTGTGTGTGTGTGTGTGTGTGTGTGTGTGTGTGTGTGTGACAGTGACGCCCATTATGAAATGCTTATTGAAAGAACTTGGCTGGAAATATATAACAAACAGAGATGAAAACAATGTAATGGTGTAACTAGGGAATGGGTCACGTGATTAACAATATAGTTTAGTTTAATAAGGAGAATAAACATTGAGTAATCATATAAGTAGACAATGGATGTGATAGTATTCTCAAGGGTTATAAGGAAGATGTGTGTGTGTGTGTTATAAGGGGTGCAACATCAATACACGTTTAACAAGAGTCGCCACCAGGGGAACCTCGGTTACAGAACAAAAGCCGATCGAGCTCACTTCAAAGGGACATTGACTTCTGCACTTTTACGAGTTGGATATTTAGAGTTTACTCACAGTATTTTCGGTTTCTTCCTGGTTGAACGTAAGGACTAAATTACCTAGATGAGGAAGATAAAGGATATATATACTGGAAAGATTTACGGTGTATCAGATGACCTTCTCAAGACTCACAAATCAGCAAGGAATTGTTTAGTAATAATGAGTAGTCTATATAATCCAATAGAAATTTTGCATAACTTATAAAACTACGACTAAAGATACACATAACGTGAATATGTAGCAATGTTTTTACTTTCAGTGAATCAGTATATAGGATCTGCTCAATACAGCGTTTGCCTTATGTTATAGGAACCACTGATTCCCATTCGGTGGACCCTGTAGTTGACCATCTGTAGAGGGAGTGTACAATACTGCCTCTTTGTGTACTGAGACTTAGTGCGCCGCCCTTCATGGACCATCAGGCCTATGTTACCCACTTTAAGGTATCAACAGTTTGAGCCTTTAGTCTTTGTCTCAGAGTTGTCGTGAGATTTATTGTTTTCCTGAGTTTTTTTCGTCTCGTTAAGATAAAGTTACTAAGATACTTATAAAACAGCGCCACTTTATCCCATGCTCTTAGGTTACATCAGTGGCCTTTATGCTACACGATTGTTTTCCTTCGAGTTCAAACAGTTATTGTAAAGGAATATTTCCACTTTTGCTCGTGACGTTTATACATCGAGAGAGATTTCTCCTTGACGTTACTAGCTCGATGATGGGCAGTCTGTCCGGATGACAGGCTGGAAATTAATCGGCATTACTCTCGTACACCACCAAATGTGCTCCCAGCTCCCCAACTGACGCGCCAAAACTTATCTTATTCACCAAGATTGACGGTCTGTACCAGTTAGTAGAATTGCAAGTGACTACTTTACC